ACTAGTCACAATTATGTTACAGATATCTTAAATGATAATACAAACTATCCAAAGTGTAACGACTAGACAGAAAGACGTTGTTGATATCTACAATGTTAATTCCGGACAGGCAAACTTAGCTTTTAAATGTTAAAAGGGCTTGCCATACAGGGACGTAGGCTCAGAGAGAGGCTCACCATATTCAGACCAAAATATCTGACTTCCTCTTGGTCCGAGCTAATGACTATGTATTAGAAAGTTGTACGGCTTGAGGAGTACAATGTATATACCGATTTTTGTAACTGTAGATAAAACTAACAACCAATGTAGTAGCACTTCTCTTTTTTTGATTGGCTGATGCGTAGCAGGGTCGACTGCTGAACTCCAGGCGAGACGCGCTTGATTCTCACGTGAGAGCGGCGCGGCCAGAGAAATTGCGTATATTAAATATATTATTAATAGTTTTTCCGCATGAGAAATACAATGTGTGACGGGAGTGTGAGACAAAAGACTGAAACGAGTGACTGTCATGCTCAATGCGTGACACACTATAAAAAAATATTTCACACTGACTCCACATTTAGGGGGCCACAAGGGGGTCCAAGCTTGTTGTCGCAGGGGCACTGGCCCCCCCAGGCCCCCGCCTAGAACCGCCATTGCTCACACACACACACACACACACACACTTTCTCTCTCTCTCAAGAAGCAAAAACATGACTGCTAAAGGTTGTATCAGCGATGGCGGGGTAACATCACTTAACATCACGAGTGCTATTCCCTTAGGCCACGCCCCCTTGTCTCCCCAAAGTATTATAAGCAATCATGCGCATCCCGTGTGCAGAATGATGCACTTGAAGCAACACCAAGTCACAGCACGCAACGCTTCACATTGAAAAGAACATAGCGAAGGGATGGTATCTATAATCTATGCTTAGTAGGGCTGCACGATTTGGGAAAATGTCATATTGCCATTATTGAGCCAATATTGCAATTGCGATTTGCGACTCCGATATAATAAAATGGTTTCATGAGTCCAACTTGCTTGGTTCTAAAGTAAAATGCACACACAGATTAATGTTTATTTCTCAACTCAAACTAAAAACAACAACAACAATAAATGATTGATAACACCTATAATGATCAATAAACCATCAACCAAACCAACATTACAGTGATTCCATCAATTGAAAGCCATCAACTTTTTAAAAAATTATTACGCTTAAAAAAAATATATAACAGCTTTTAAATTAAGTGAACTTCAAACAATCCCCACATAAACCCATAATAAAAAACATATTTACCTGTGCCCTTCCTGTCTTAACAGGTACAGAAATTGAATAAAGTTATCAAACAGTCTGCGCTGCCTGAATCATAAATTATATATATAATAATCCTTATTAAAGCTACAAAAGTTCTTTACTCAAGATCAGTGAGTAATTTTCTAATTTCCCTTTGTTCTTTTAACTTTACTGAAAGAACGCTTTATTCGCTGCTGGCCCTTTAAGAGCACCCGTTGCCGAGACGCGGATCTCACACGCGCCTCATAGCACAACTCTTTTCATCCATAGACTTTTCTTATGTTATGAAGATACTAGACAAAATCACATTTTGGCATAATTGTGTGTGCTATTGTTCGTTCAAGCTCGAAAGAGAACTGTTTATTCTGGGCTGGCACACGGTCAGTGCATGCGCATTATGCGAGTCTCATCTATTCTAATCTAGGGCACTCACAGGCAGCTTTTCACTTCTTGTCGTGCAAAATGCGAAAAGGCATTTGAACCAATAAGAGGGGGATCTTGTAACACTAGTCAAAGGATGACAAAAAAGAAGAGATGCTGCGCTAATAGCCCTACTTTGTTTATTTCATATAAAATCGCGGCATTTTGCGTTATATAATTGCATAGGTTTGAGATCGCTATTACGACTGCGATATAATTAATCGTGCAGCACTAATGCTTAGTGTATTCTAAAGGGCAATAAACTCCACTCCAGCAAGATAGTCATTTTATGCAAATCATAGACCTTTATGCCTTATCTACAAATAAAGTATAATATTGGGAACATTGATCTTGAAGAGAGTGTCGTCGTGTTACTGTCGCAACCGAACGCGACGCGCTAATGCTGATGCATGGAGAATGACTGAGGCGAGATGACTTTCCGTTAACTTTAACTTAGAGACTAAAATATTAATTTTACCACACATTAAGCTATTGAATGACTTTAGAAGTCTTGGAATATAGTGTGAAAACTTGATTGTGCTTTACAGTTTTTTATGCCTTTAGTGGGGCTTAACAAAATAACACAATATGCAGAATGTCGGACGTCACTTATAGGCTAAACTGTTTTTATAGATAAAACTATTTACATTCGGCAGTCATGAAAACAAATCTCAGATAACGGTTGACTAGGTAACAATGTGTAATTTTGCGCCGGAGTTCTCCTTTAACTTACATTAGCTAGCTAACTACGAACGAGCTAACCAGATAACATTAACAAATTGACAAGCACTTACTGGGCACAGTGGGCAGAATGGCTCTTCAAATGACGGACGAAATTGGAGGTTGTCATCTGACTGTCCGCGATCTTAACGTTGCATGTCTTGCAAAGCGCTGTTCTTTTGCCATCTTGTTGTAAGAAATTCTTGAATCCAAAAGCGACGACGACCCTCGTTATCCCTCCGGCTGACATGTTGATGTGATCTGATGTAAGTGGGCGTGGTGTGCGCGTAAGGTATGAGAGGGCATGACTGATGATCTCGTGATCCAGTCATGACAGCGCTATTCTCAGCCTGCGCTCCAGCTGGATCAACTTTATTTTTTTTACATAATTTATATATTTTATATTCAAACTGAAAACATGATGTGATTAACACTCAAGTCATATTATTACATGCAAGTGTGTTTGATTTATGGACCAAATTTTCAGATCAAGTTTATGGACCAAGTTAATTTAATTAATAAACCTATAAAACTATTAATGCACTACAATTAAACTGGTTATATGCCTTTACTTATAAAAAATAAAAAACTTATTAAAAAAATACCAGGCTTAAGGCATTTATTTTTTATGCAGGCCATACACACAGGAGTGAAATGGTTAAGACCCCTCCCCCTACAAACACACACACATACACAGACAGGCAAAGACAGAGATGTAGGCTCAGATTAAGCAAGACCACATTCAAACAAACATATCTGACTTTCTGTGGGTCCTAGCTAATGAGTGTCAATTAGAAAGTTGTCCGGCTCGAGGAGTACAATATACATACCGATTTTTGTAACTGTAGATAAAACTAACAACCCTACTTTTGTCAAAAGGTGGCGCTACTGAGCCCTCACCACGCCCGTTTCTGAAACATTGCACGTGTCTACTGGCTAATAAATGTGATGTGTCTGTCGAGTTTCATGCATTTTGAAGCATGCTAAGGGTCTCAAAAGCATCCTAAAAGCATCCTAAAAGAAGGGTAAAGTTTGATGCGTCGCCACGGCAACAGTTTCAAAGATATCAAGAATCCATTCACAGGTCTACATCTGCCGTATGTTTACATTATACATATGAAGTTTGAAGCAAATCGGGTAAAAATAAAAGGGTGATATCAAAGCATTTTGAAAGTGACACACTTCCTGCTGCCAGTTGGTGGCGCTATAACTTTGACTCACAATAGTCACATCCATGTGATCGTCCTCTTACAGCGAACATACTGCTGAAGTTTCATCAAGATCAGTTAATGTATGCTGAAGTTATAACAAACTTCCTGTTTCACGTTTCTCGCCATGATTTCGTTTCCTCGCCACGGCCAAACCGTTCGAGATATCAAAAATCCCCACACAAGCTTTCATCCTCAATGTCTTCACTTTACGCTGACCGAGTATCGTCGAATTTGGATCAAAGCTCTAGGAGGAGTATTTCAAATAACATTGCGAGCGTTTTACAAACAAACCTCAATAGCCGACTTCCTGTTGGGCTGGGGTAAAAAGTAAAAGCGCGAGGTATAGATGAAACGATGAGATCAACATGCGTACCGAGTTTCATATTATTACATGCAAGCGTGTTTGAGTTATGGACCAAGTGTTCGGACCCCATTCCAGGGGGCGCTGACGAGCCCCCCTGCCACGCCCGGGTACCATCTTCAGCCCGGCTCTGATGGCCGCGGGTTCTGACCCGTGTGCAAAGTTTCAAGAGTTTTCGAGCATGTTAAGGGCCCCAAAAGTGCCCGAATAGTCGTAAGAAAAATAATAATAATAATAATAATAATAATAATAATAATAATAGAAAAGAATAATCCTAAGGAAAACAATAGGGCCTTCGCCCTTTCAGGGCTTGGGCCCTAATAATCCTAAGGAAAACAATAGGGCCTTCGCCCTTTCAGGGCTTGGGCCCTAATAATATTTTAGGAAATGTTTAATATGGGGCCATTTTTGGTCTTTAACGCGCTAAGTGTGATTTTTTTTTTTAAAATCTGGCATAACACAAAATCTTTAAATGCACCAGAAATATTGTTGCTGCTAATCTTTGACATATTCAAGACTGTGATAATCCAAATCTAAAGTTTTCTCTTTGCATTTAGTTTATTGAGAATAATTGAATTTTTGTGTTTTTTCCTCTTATACAAATCGATGGTTTTGCCAACAAAACTGATAATTAAAGGGTTAAAATCCTGAAATTGAATACATTTTTGGTAGTTATGATGAGGACTGATGCTGATTAAAAGATTTAACTTGGTAAAAGTGGAAAATAATAATAATATATAATATTTTAGGCAATGTTTATTATGTGGCCATTTTTGGTCCTTAATGCACTCAACAGTGTTAAAAATCTAATGCAGCACAAGGGTTAAAACAAGAAAAAATATGTGGTCAGAAAAAGAATCTTGTTTTCCCTTTTTTTTCTGACCCCATTGGCAGATTTTTTTTGTTTAAAAAATAAACACTTTAATTTAATGCATTCTTATGTTTAGATGTATAATGTGAGTGTGAATACACATATGACTACAATGCAAAATGCTTGTTTTGACAGATGGGAAGCTGTATGATGCTTATGTGATTTACCAGAGAAACTCGGATGAAACGACAAGCAAAACTGTGAGTGACTTTATGAATGGACCTCTTCTAACAGTGCTGGAGAGATACTGTGGCTATAAACTCTTTATTCACGGCAGAGACGACCTACCTGGGGAAGGTACGCTTCTGTTCGAAACATCTCGCAGTGAACCATTTTTGATATGTTGTGTGATGAACATTGCAAAAACAATTATGCTGTTCCTCAGTATTTCCTGTACAAATATCTAAACATGCAAATCAATATGCATGGAGAAGCAAAATGACTGAAGTCTTGTTTTCTGTAAAAATGCTTCAAAATGAAGTGACTTATAGCTTATTTGATATTTTTATTTTTATTTATTTATTTAACCCTTATTTAACCAGGGAAATCCTTTGAGTACAAGTCTCTTTTGCGAAGGAGCCCTGGCCAAGAAGGCCGCTGTAAAGGTTCCACATAAAATACAAAACAAAAATAAATACAATAAACATACAAGACATAATAAATAAATTAACAGTTACAATGCTTAAAAAGTAAAATACAATGACCTTACAACAGTTAAAAATATTATACAAAATGAACATTTGGTTCAAAATGAACAATATTGTTTTAGGCATAAAGTTCATTTCATAATATCCCCCCCTAACGTCAGAGCATGCCTCAGTGACATTGAGACGTGGTCTGGGAACCACATGTTCATTTTATTGTATTTGAGGCGTGGTTTACGAATGCCCAGAGCCGTATTATTGGGTTCTACATATCAAATGCGCCTCTACGTAGCCCAGATGACATGAAAGCGACACGGCAGAAGTCGATGGGTCAGAAATTTATGATGGTGTATTGAAAGGTAACTTCGCGTCTGCTGCCATGTTGGATCCATAGGTATAAACAAACTGCTTCGGTGTGTCGCATAGACGTCGTCATCGTCTTGCTGCTCCCTCCCCGTTCCCCAGATGAGGCGACAATCTGGCCCATGGTGTCCAGACTGCCTAGGAGCGTGAATAAAATCGCACTGCGCAAAGGCAGCAACCAGGATACCCTTTTCATAAAATAAAACAAAATTCACTTTGAAATTCATTTTTGGGATGTTTTAGCGTACCTCAAGGGCATCCAAGATGTAGGTGTCTTTGTTTACACAGTATTTTAAATTTTGATATTTTTAGGTCAAACCGTTCATATAATGGAGGTCTATGGTCACCACCTCAAAGAGCATGCACAGAGAAGTCCAGATTAAACATGATTTAATGACTCGTAAATGTAAGGGCCTAAGACACGAAACAAGTGGTTTGTGTGAGAAAACGAACTGTATTTATATCGTTTTTACCTCTTGTAACCACAGCCACGTCCAAATAATCTGAGGGCTCTCTGTGATCTCTCGCGGTTGCAAAAAAATTCAGCGTTGTCTGTTGATATATTGAAATCGTCTTCCATTGTGATTTCCTGTATATCTAAATATGATTAGATCTTCACAGTGAAGGGAAACGCTTCCAAAATCTCTGTGTAAACAATGAGTGACGTACCGCAGACCGAAGCGCCCGTGCCCTCAGATCAGTTGGACGTGGCTGTGATTACAAGAGGTAAAAACGATATAAATACTGTTCGTTTTCTCACACAAACCTCTCGTTTCGTGTCTTAGGCCATCAACTTGTACTTACATTTACGAGTCATTAAATCATGTTTAATTTGGACTTCTCTGTGCATGCTCTTTGAGGTGGTGACCATAGACCTCCATTATATGAACGGTTTGACCTAAAAATATCAAAATTGAAAATACTGTGGAAACAAAGACACCTACATCTTGGATGCCCTTGAGGTAAGATAAAACATACTAAAAAGTAATTTCAAAGTGAACTATCCCTTTAAAGCATATTAAAAACACCACCACTGGGGGACTTTAAATAAATTTGCTTCTGAAGTAATCAAAGATACTGAGGACCATCCTAATATTTTCTGCTGTGCGCAATAGATACACTGGTGCTTTTTGATGCATGTTTCTCAAACGTTCCATGTTCCTTCCTGTGTCTTAACCAGATTGCATGAACCTGATTGAAACTAAGATACAGCTTAGTCGGAGGCTTATCATCATTTTAACACCAGGAACAAGTAGCATATCTCCTGAAGCTTATGATCTGCAAGTGGGGATTCATCAGGCTCTGGTACAAGGAGAAACCGGTGTGATTGTCATCCAGCTGGGGCAGATTCGGGACTACACACACCTGCCTCTCGGACTGCAACATCTCCTCCGCAAGAATAATCCTTTACTGTGGAGAGACGGCCAATCCTCACCGACCTCGAGGTTCTGGAAGACAGTGCGATATAGGATGCCGGTCGCCTCATCCCATCAGAAAAGTTCGGAAAAATATCACTTGAAGGTCTGAGATTTCCAATTTAAATCAAGACAGGCTTTTAGGGTCAGGATTTTACAAGCATTTTCTTAACCATCCTATTATATTTGGGGTCAATGTGATTTTTTTTTTTCTTCTTCAGATTTAATGACTTTTCCTAATTTGATGCGGACAACTTTTTAGTTGTATAATACAGAATAAATATTAAAATTATACACACATGTGGATGTCAACTTAAAAAGATATTAATTTACCTGAGACAAACCTTTGTTTAAAAAAAAAAATCATATTGTAGAGGTTTAAAATAAATTACTCCACAATAAAAATGTTATCAGATTTGAGGGTAACAAGAAGTTTAAAAAAGTCTTGAGAAAAATTCGCAAGTGTGCGATTCTGGTATATTATATATTTCTTGATCAAATATATTTTCTTGGGAACGTCTTAGTTCAAGAACAAAATGACAGGCTTAACAATATTTGGTGAGGACCCATATTTAACTCATTTTTGTAGAATTTTTACTCAATTTTTAAATTCAGCAAAAAGTCATGTCAGACATAATCATGAGCAATCATAGTTTGCATCATTGAACATTAGTGGCACTTCAGAGAACTCTGTAAAAGTTTGGTGTCACTACTGTGATGCATTTTATTTTTCTAGATTCTTTGATGAATAGAAATGTCAAAAGAACAGCATTTTAAAACATTTATTTTTTTGTAACATCTGTCACATTTAATGCTTCCTTGCTATATAAAAGTTTTTTTTTTTAATGTGTGTTGTAATGCTTATACAGCAATTAATTCGAAAGAACCCAATAAATTCATTAAACATTTGTGGATTTAAAACAATTTGGAGGTTTTTGAGAATATTTGCGATGATGATAATGCCAAAATAATAAACAGGCTTTTTGTGTCACATATTAGGTATAGGCTATATTTAAACATTTTGTCATTATATTTCTGGTCTATTCCATTCTTACTTTTATTTACATACATTACACAATTAAAATAATATTTTTGTGGTGGTGCCTATAAAAATAGTTCTGTACAAATGAAATGAATTAATTGTATATTTAATAAAATGTATGCATCTACTACCTGAACTTGTTTAATGTTTTTTAAACAAGTTTTACAGAAAGAGTGATTTATTCGACAAATTTAGCCTAGACTATTGAAAATTGGTTCAGAGAATGGGGTTTAGTGTTTTAGCAATTCAGAAAAATCAACTTAAAAAATAATGTCTTTTTCGTTAAACGTCATTTTTAAATAAACGAATATTCGATTTTTATTAGCCCGAATATTCGAATGCAATATTTTTTTTAAATGCCCATTCCTTAGCAGAACTGCCTTTGAGTGATAAATATCTTAGCAACCAATGGTTCAATACCTTAAAGTATTTTTAAAAAGAAACGTAATTACTGTCTTTTTACAGTAGGCCTAATAAAAGCATAGCCTACTCAAACGGCGCGAACAGTAAAAAAAAAAAACGCCTACAGTAATAAAACAGATTGCACCAGATCGTACAGAACGTACACACACTCGAGTCAGCATGATTATCGTGTTTACATTGCTTCACGTTTTATATTGAGAAAAACAATAATATCCACATAGGGGTGATTTGGATACAGCCCATGATCTCATATCGATCAGGAGGACATAGTGTGCAGCGCCATCTTGTGTGACCTTGACAACTCCTTAAAATCACCATGATATCATTTTTATAAACGATTTCCAAATATAAAAAAACTGCAATTTTCCAAAAATAAATAAAATTGTGTGTGTTTTTTTTAATTTCATGGTGACGTCAAGAACAGAGACAAACCTGTTCAGACTATTCTGAACCTGTTCTGAACAGAGACAAAAATCGGGTGTTTTATTTTATTTTTTATAACATTTCAGCGTTCTTCATTCTATAACGCTAAAAATAGCCTATAATTTCAAAGCAGCCTCAAGATTATTGCTTTATTTTGTGTATTCACTTTACATAATGCGTTCTGTGGATCATGTTCTTTAAGTTATAAAATAAAACCTAAAAATAACCTGCAAGGAACGTGCATGTTCTCTCTCGGTTATGAAATAAAATAATAATAAAAACAGCAGGGACATTTCTGGGAAGGTTCACTTTAAAAAGAGAAGATATGGGTTCCCCAAAAACCAAATGGGAACGTTAGGGAACGATTTGTTTTCTGGGAAACTGCTACTTTTTTCTCTCAATTGAGAGTTTATATCCACTGATCTATATAAATGATTTATATAGATCTATTCATTTAAATAGACCAGTCAGTGAGAAAATGTGAATGAATCTATGGCGCCAGAAATCCCAGAATGCTTCACTCTCTGCCCTGTCCGGCGCGATCAAGCCTGTCCTTTCAAATTGTTTTATTTTCACCAAATCCATTTGTAAGAACTCTTCCTGTTCACAGAAGAGCCGGGCACACTTTTATTAATGTGTTTTGGTGAGAATATTTCCACACGGATTCGATTCCTGTCAGTAACTCTGTTGTTGACGCGTTGCTATGGTGACGCGGCGCTCATATTTACCACGCGGTTGCTGCTGAACCGGCTGAAGATCATCATCATCGTCATCATCATCATCATCATCATCATCATCACAATCCTCGGGGTTTATGGATCATTATGAGGTTATTCGACAGGTCGGTCAAGGCGCGTTCGGGAGCGCGCTTCTGGTCAAACACCGACACGGAGACGATGAGCTGCTATACGTCATCAAAGAGATTCACCTGAGACAGGTATTGAGCCACTTCTGACTGCTTGACGTTACAAATAAAATGTCATTTCATAATTTGTGACTGTGTGCTGGAGATTTTCTGTGAAGCTTCTTTGAAACTTGGCTATTTAGACAGATAAACTTGAATCCGATCATGACAATTCTTCAACATTCATAGGATTATTTTTTCAGATTTAGGAGAAAAAATAAAGGTTGGTTTGTTGGTTGGCTGTTGACAGTTAACAGGCTATACAATTAAAACATAGATTCTGAACTACATTTTTCAAATACTCAGTTTGGCAATGACAGCAGGAACTGAACTCTTAGTACTGTTGTTTAGAGTACCCAGTGAGCCAATGTATAGAAAAAAATAATGTAGGAACCAGATTTAAATATGAACATATCCTTAAAAGACGCTATTTAGGCTTCTGAATTAGTTTTTGTGAGACAATTTTAGCTGTTATAATGTATCTTTTAGTACTAGTCTAGAATGACTGTTTTAAAATCATGATGTGCTGCTGCAGTCTCTGATCCGTTCATGTGGGATGAGACCTGCATGGGTTAATGGGATCTGGGAATAGAGAACAGGAGAAACTGGTGTGTGTGTGTGTCTCTGTCTCAGTTGTCTGCTCGGGATAAGGATGCCTCCAGAAAGGAAGTGACCCTTTTGTCCAAAATGAGACATCCAAACATTGTCACGTTTTATAAATCATTTTACGGTCAGTGTGCTTCTTCTGTGATGTATTCTTTATATTGTGTGTGATATAGATTTGTTTTAATATAGTAGCTTTAATTAAACCAGGAACATTCTGCCAATGTTCTGATTGAACAAACGTTCTTCCAGTAACATTAAAAGAATGTTTGTTCAATGTTATCTGAAAATGATCAAAATATAATTCATTCATAATTCATAGTTTCAAGTTTTTTTTCTGTTCGAATGTTTCGAACATTCTTTTAAATGTAACTGCCTACTTGTTTCGGAATGTTCGGATAACATTCAAAAGTAACATTTCCACAATGTTTGCAAAGTTCTAAAATGGAATGTTCCCTTAAAGGGATAGTTCACACAAAAATGAAAATTAGTCCATGATTTACTCAAAGGTGTTTGACATTTTTCTTTCTGACGAATACAATCGGAGTTATGTTAAAAATATCCTAGCTCTTCCAAGCTTTATAATGGCAGTGAATGCCCTGTATCTGTTTTAAAGTTCATCTGTCCATGATAAAAGTGCATCTATACATCATAAAAGTGCATCTAACCATCATAAAAGTGCATCTGTCCATCATAAAAGTGCATCTATCCTTTATAAAAGTGCATCTATACATTATAAAAGTGCATCTATACATTATAAAAGTGTATCTGTCCATCATATAAGTCCATCTATCCATCATAAAAGTGCATCTGTCCATCATAAAAGTGCATCTGTCCATCATATAAGTCCATCTATCCATCATAAAAGTGCATCTGTCCATCATAAAAGTGCATCTATCCATCATAAAAGTGCATCTGTCCATCATAAGTCCATCTATCCACCATAAAAGTGCTTCTGTCCATCATAAAAGTGCATCTATCCATCATAAAAGTTCATCTGTCCATCATAAGTCCATCTATCCATCATAAAAGAGCATCTGTCCATCATAAGTCCATCTATCCATCATAAAAGTGCATCTATCCACCATAAAAGTGCATCTGTCCATCATAAGTCCATCTATCCATCATAAAAGTGCATCTATCCGTCATAAAAGTTCATCTATCCATCATAAAAGTTCATCTATCCATGATAAAAGTGCATCTGTCCATCATATAAGTCCATCTATCCATCATAAAAGTGCATCTATCCATCATAAAAGTGCATCTGTCCATCATAAGTCCATCTATCCATCATAAAAGTGCATCTATCCGTCATAAAAGTTCATCTATCCATCATAAAAGTTCATCTATCCGTCATAAAAGTTCATCTATCCATCATAAAAGTTCATCTGTCCATGCTAAAAGTGCTTCTATCAATCATAAAAGTCCATCTATCCATCATAAAAGTGCATCTATCCATCATAAAAGTGCATCTGTCCATCATATAAGTCCATCTATCCATCATAAAAGTGCATCTGTCCATCATAAAAGTTGACATCGAAGGACACAAACGTCATGCGCTGGAACGCCAGTCTCTCGTGAACGCGCGTACGATCATGGGCTAATTTTTATTTTTGGGTGAACTATCCCTTTAACGTTTATATAACCAAGAATAAACATGTTAGAAAACACTAAGAAATAATGTTTTTAGAACTTAAATTGAATGTCAGCAAACCACCTGCTGGATTTGACCACACACTAAAGTGTTTGTGTGCGCTATCCAGACAGAAATAACCTCTACATCCTGATGGAATACTGTGACGCCGGTGATCTGATGAACAGAATCAAGATGCAGAGAGGAAAACCCTTCACAGAGCAGCAGGTCAGGCCTTCACCTTTACCCTCGCTCAGCAGATACTGTGGCTTTTTGTCACTGAGAGGCGGCTTTGGGTGTCTGAGTGTGTGTTGTGTGTGTTTCAGATTGTGGACTGGTTTGTTCAGATCTGTCTGGGACTGAAGCACGTTCACGACAGGAAGGTTCTGCACAGAGACATTAAAGCTCAGGTACGGTCACACACACACGTAATGCGGTGGGTGAATCCGGCGTCTCATGTGTCTGTGCTCCTCCAGAACATCTTTCTCACTCACGGAGGACAGAAAGTCAAACTGGGAGATTTTGGCATCGCAAAAAGTTTGAACAAGTGAGTCTGTGTTTATTCCTTATTTATGTCAAACCCCTGCTGGTTTACACCCCTGATGTGTGTGTGTGTTGGACAGCACCACGGATCTCGCCAGGACCTGCGTCGGGACGCCGTACTATCTCTCTCCAGAGATCTGCGAGAACAGACCGTACAACAACAAGACGTAGGTACAGCATCTGTGTGTTCAGCTCTTCATCTGCTGCTCTGTGTGTGAACTGATGTGTCCTGCAGGGACATCTGGTCTCTGGGCTGTGTCCTCTATGAGCTCTGCACACTCAAACACCCGGTGAGTACATCGCTGCTGGAGATGTGGACGTTATGCTTCCCCTGCTGTTGTTTAATTCACAGGACCAGACACCAAGAGATCTCCAATTTATTTGGCCTTATTTATAAGGTCTTCATTCCAGCGTCTCTGTTCTTCTGGACAAAGAGGTTCGGTTTTATGTGTTACTAACCAAAAAAACTGCATTACGAGGAACGTGTGGTTTCTATTTAGCATGGAATGATGAATGTCTCTCTCACACACAATGATTACAAATAAACAATAACTGATTATGTGTAACTTATATTAAATTATGACATTTTAGTCTTCAACCTGATCTGTTGTGTCTCTTTAAACTCTCACATGTACATTTTCAGAATGCTACTTCAAAACATTCGTCATATAAAGCGAACGTGTCTCTTCAGAAGGTTTGGATTCTGGTGCTATTCGGTCATTTTCGACGAAATTTTTTTATTTTTTTTTATCAAAATGGTGTGAAACTTGATAAAGATTTTGTCTAGAAATGTCTACACTTCGAATGTTATCTAGTGGAAGCGTTCGGTACTGCAGCCAAACACAATCATAATGAAAGCGCATTTTTTGGAGATATCAACCTCAGATTTTTAACACAACTAGATTAGATTTACAGTTTTAGAGTACTTTTATTGTTGTTGAAAATATGTATTACATATAAAAATTTAAAATAGTATTTTTGCATGTTTTATAACAGTAAACGTACAATTCTGTAATTTTTTTAAGTTATGAAAAGTTATGAAAGAGTGGTAAAGCATTCAAGATTCACCACAGTTTAAGTTGTTTGGTAGATTCTCAATTGAGTTTGTGTGTGAACGTCTGAAAATAATGTTACAGTGCAAAGTTTATTTATAGTCTAACCAAAAAAAAAAAAGCATTTTAATTTGAACTATAATTCTCTTTAGGGCTGTGCAAAAATTAATTGCGATTAATTGCATCCAAAATAAAAGTCTGTGTTTACATAATATATTTGTGTGTGCTGTATATAATTATTTTGTATATAGAAATACACACACATGCATGTATATATTTAAGAAAATGTGTTATTCATATATAAAATATTTATATTTATATAATTTAGATTATGTATATATATATATACAGAATTTAAGCGCAAATAATTCTTAAATATATACATGCATGCAAAGGTATTTATATATACAAAATAATTATATACAGCACACACAAATATATTATGTAAACACAGACTTTTATTTTGGATGCAATTAATCTTTGCACAGCCCTAATTCTCTTTCTTTGATTTGGGGGTGAAATATTATCTTGAAATTGTTCTTGTGTACACATTACCTGCTGCTGCTCACCAGGGTTATTATAGTTAACTAAAACCATTTTTAAAAAGCACATTTTTGTTACATAAAATAAAATACATTTTAATTGAAACGAAATAAAATCTGGTTATTTTCCAAGGAAAAATGTCTAATTTTAATTTAGTTTACCTTAATGTACTTAAATAACAACAACAAAAAACTAAATAGACATGTTTAGAAGTTTAAAAACTATAAAAAAAAAATATATATATATACGAATAAAACTACTTAAAAATACTATAAAAACTGGAATGGTAACACTTTATAATAATGTTAGCAACATTAGTAAACTACATTAGTTAGCAACGTCTACAGCATTTATTAATCTTAGTTAATATTAATTTCAACATTTACTAATACATTATTAAAATCAAAGGTTGTATTTATAACTTTAGTTAATGCACTGTGAACTAACATGAACCGACAGGCATCAGTCCTGTTTGTGTCTGAAACGTGTGTGTGTGTGTGTGTGTCCTGCAGTTCGAGGGCAGTAATTTAAAGCAGCTGGTGTTGAGGATCTGTAGGGGGCGCTATAGTCCAGTGTCTCAGCGATACAGTGCTGAACTTCGACTTCTGCTGAACCAGCTGTTCAAGATCAGTCCTCGAGACCGGCCGTCAGCGAACACACTCCTCAGAAGACCGTTACTGCAGGCTCAGATCAGCAAACACCTCGACACACAGGTACGACGTCACCTGACACTTCACGCAGACAACGAATCAACATGCACCAATGCTATATTTTCTAAATGACATAATCATCTATCTACAAATTACAGGAACATCTGTGTGTGTGTCTGTTAATCATTTCAAATAATCATTAAATATTTAACCCCAAAACCGTATTCTGGACAAACGTGGGCAAAATAGTTTTGATTTATTTTTTAAAAATACTTCCCTTGATCTGAGCGGTACAAGACTTGGCTACTTTTCCTAAGTTTGCCTCATGAACACACACTTTTTTTTTTGACTCAATTCTACAATGTTAAGTGGGTGAAAAATAAAAACTCCTTAATCTTGTATTTGGGTCAAAAATGGGCACCCATAGAAATGAAATGAATGGGAAAAACTGTAATTTAGAGCATTCTAAAATAAGCCAAAATAACAGCAAAGTCACTTCATCTTTAGGTTTTAGCTCTAAGAACTTATTGGAATGATATTTTAATGTAGTTAAAAAAAATAAAACTACATAGTAATTCATTTACATAGAAATAATTTACACAGAAAATATGGTACTTTTTGAAGTAAATAAATTCAAAAATACCCCCAAAATAAAAAAAAACACACCATAAATGGACAGACAAAACTTTATCGAAGACAGTGATATAAAATTTATAATACATACAAATTAGAAGCCCTCTGTGCCCACATTTGTCCACAATTACAGGATTAAGGGCTATAAAGTGAATACGGTTTGAGGGCTAATGTTTAATAATTCTTTATTTTTTGTTTTGAATCATCATTGTATATATATATACATATATATAGACATAATTTTAATTTATAGGCACCAATATAATAATACATGAACTGTTATATTGACCTACAGATTTACTAAACCTTTTTAAAATATGAAAAGTGATATAAAGCTGCACTTTCTTTTCCATTTCATGTCAGTTGCTGGAGGAAGAGTTCAGTCACACAGTTCTTCACGGACACACACCAGCGGCACCTAAAGCCACAAACAACACAGGTGTGTGTGTGTGTGTGTGTGTGTGTGTAGACTACAACATACAGTAAATGAAGCAGAATCTGGTGTCCTGAAGTGTATCGTGTGAAAGTTCTCTGGTTTATCTGGAAGTCTTTGGCCTTTCTAAAGATCCGGCGGGATATAAACCCGTCCCGAGAGCTCCTGTCATCAAAGCACCAGCGAGACCCGAGCAGAGACGCAGCAGAGCCAAAGCACAAGTGAGTTTTCATATAAAGACATTGACGTTGTTTGATCTTTGAGCCGTGAGTCATGTGACTGCACCTTAAAGGAAACCTATAGACGAATCCGGCGAAACTACCGGAAGTAAGCGGGCGCCATTACTGAGCTGTTGCTGGGTAGCGTTGCGCCATTGCCTTCTATTGTTTTAGTTGCAACTTGCGTCCACTGGAATAAACAGCTCGAGATTTACAACTGTCACTAACGTTACAACGTTATCCCTTGTATAATGTCGAGTGGGTAAACAGTTTCTGTTATAAATTGTTTCAATGGTGGCAGTAAAATTTAAATTTTGAAGAGAAAACATTGTGAATACCCCGGGTCGACTGCCCCTGTCTGGTGCCGTACGGTTTACACAGATTTCCTGGGCGAGTACAAGACACGGACATTCGCGTATAATAACAATTATTTAATGACATGAGTAAAAAAATATAATAAATGTGTGATATAGTGATCAGCAAAATCTCCTCTCTTGCTATTTTTTCTATTCAATTTACATGCTATGGTCATTAAATGGCTTTCCTGAGCTTAATGTAACGTTATGTGACATAATTGTTCTCCTGCTGTTATATTGACCTCTTTCCATGGTTTAAAAACACTAATTGGTCGATATTGTGTATACTTTCTAGCTGTAACGTTACCTTACCCATGCCCGTTGCTATGTAAAAATGAGATAAATAATGGACACAAATGAAAAACATGAAATTGTTTATTTGATTTCATTTATTTATTTATTTATTGTTGCCAAATGGACAGATCTTTTTTTAGTTTCCACGGTAGCAAACGTTAGCCTAGCTTGCTTGCCAAGCTATTTTCATAAATAATCTGTAAGATCGTTTGTACCTTCATCTGTGACTGGAGGCCAATGTCTAACATCATCAACCCAACAAGTCTGCCTGGCTGTAGCTGTCATCAAGGGTGCGTTATCACCTTATCTCCGAGGTTTGTTTACATACCGGTGCATATGTCTATGCCGGTGTAACAGCTCAGTAATGGCGTCGCCACAAGATGGCAGCCTACACAAGAACGCTCGTCGGATTCGTCTATTGTACCTGGACCCATTTATATAGTCTTGAGTTTGTTATAGGTTTTCATAATTCAATATTTTAAAAAAACACATAATTTTCCTCATATTCTCCATTGTTGCGGCTCCTCTCTTCCCAGTCTGTCAGTAACGCTCTGTTTACTTCCTGAAGCCCCTCCTTCTGAAAAGCACACTGTGCTCTGATTGGTCGGCTGGATCAGTGTGTTGTGATTGGTCGAGCGCTTCGAGTGTGTTTCAGAAATGTGTGTTTTAAAAAGATAAATTGCGAATTGATATAAAGTCAGAATTGCGAGATATACAGAAACAAACAACACACACTAAAGAGAGATGAACATGCAGAAAAGCAGAACAGGACTCTTTAAGATAAATGATAGGCTGTTAGATGAGATGAAAATAAATAAATGAACACTCTGATAAACTGAATTAATAAAATAAATGTTTTCGTCTCTCAGCAAATAAAGCCTCGATTTCCTGCTGTGTTTGAAAACCCGATTGCGGTTAAAGCGTGTGTTGATCGTGAGCGCCGCTGGAACGGGCCGGTCGAGCGTCAGGAACCTGTGGAGGATCGTGACACACACACACTGGAGCCCTACAAACTGTGAGACACTCGAAACCAAATCCTCTTTACTGGAGCTCTTATCGATTCATCTGTGACCTTTCTCTAAAGAAAAGAAACTCATGTCTTTATATTCTCTGAAACAACGTCATCAGTCCCACTATTCACTAACCACGTTGAAATCATTTGATTCCTGGAGTTTCACACTCTTTTATCACTGGAGGTGTATATATATATGAATGTAGGCTAATATTGATCAGGCAGGATATGAGCATTACGGTTTACCAGGTGTGTGTGTGTGTGTGTGTGTGTGTTCAGTGTCGCTAAGGCGAGAGACGAGTATCTGCAGAGGCGACGTGAAGCCCAACTGTACAAACTCCGAGCTCAGAAACAACTGGTGAGTGTCACTGAACTCACAAGTTATCACGCAGATCACGCTTTATCATGAACTCGTCAGTTTGGGTCTATTTTGTAGGGAAGCTTGTTTCCACCACAGAATTAAAAATTAAAAAAAGACTTTATCTCACAATTCCTTTTTTACCCTCACAATTGAATTGCATGTTATGAAGTCAGAAATTTGAGCTGTACATTTTTTTTTTCCTTAGAATTAGACGTTATTACTCACAATTGCGAGTTTATATCTCACAGTTCTGAGAAAAGATGTCAGAATCACGTGATATAAACTCGCAATCGTGTGATATAAAGTCAGAATTGCGAGATATAAAGTGAGAATTGTGAGATATAAAGTCGGAATTAAGTCAGAATTGCGATATAAAGTCAGAATTGCGAGATATAAAGTCGGAATTAAGTCAGAATTTCTAGATATGAAGTCAGAATTAAGTCAGAATTGCGAGATATAAAGTGAGAATTGTGAGATATAAAGTCAGAATTGCGATATAAAGTCAGAATTGCGAGATATAAAGTCATAATTAAGTCAGAATTGCGAGATATAAAGTCAGAATTAAGTCAGAATTGCGATATAAAGTCAGAATTAAGTCAGAATTTCGAGATATAAAGTCAGAATTAAGTCAGAATTGCGAGATATAAAGTCAGAATTGCGAGATATAAAGTCAGAATTAAGTCAGAATTGCGAGATATAAAGTCATAATTAAGTCAGAATTGCGATATAAAGTCAGAATTAAGTCAGAATTTCGAGATATAAAGTCAGAATTAAGTCAGAATTGCGATATAAAGTCATAATTAAGTCAGAATTGCGATATAAAGTCAGAATTAAGTCAGAATTTCGAGATATAAAGTCAGAATTAAGTCAGAATTGCGATATAAAGTCAGAATTAAGTCAGAATTGCGATATAAAGTCAGAATTAAGTCAGAATTTCGAGATATTAACCCATTTGTGCCCAAATTTTTCTGAATGGTTTCATGCATATAGTCGTGTTAATAATGTCCTATGTGAACATGTTCTGCATTTATTTCCTCAGGTTTTTTTTTTTTCTTCTTGAAAATCGTATTTTAATGTGCGGCAACTATAGTTGCCGGTGGGCAAATATGTTGTATGAACCCCATCAATGTTAAATATGAATAGGAGGAGAACATTTGGCATCTATCTCAAAATAACTGCTTTCAGCAGATCAATCTTTATTCATAAACAAATTTATTGTGTATAAAAGTCGAAGAATGTTTGATGCGAACCCAAAAAGCGGAATCTATAGCTTATAATGTCTTGAATATAAAAACACAACAAACAACAAATCCGTTTGTCTTAAACCTTGTGTGCTGTTTGGGGTCTTTTTGACCCACATTTCTAACTTTCATTTATTGGGATAACATGGACAATTTGACATGGTTTAGTGTAAGATTTTTGCCAATCTTTTGGAAAATGCCGTTTTAAAAGTAACAAATTATCACTTTAACCAGTAGATGGCTGCAGAGCTCCACTATTTGCGATTTGCTATATTTGACTAAATGAAAGACATATTTTCACAAGTTTTTCCAGTTGTTTTCATATCTAGATATTATGAAATCACAATTATAACAATAAAAGTAACTTTTTGTCGAAGTTTAGGCATTTTTTGTACTGGAAAAAATCTGTTTTTCAATAATGTTATCGAATCAAATGATTTTTGTCAATGGACAAAATTCATCCTCAAAATCAGAAAGAACACAGAAATTTGGTGGCACACTTCACACAATTTTTTGAATTATATGAAAAAAAGATGTTTGAAATAAATTATAAACTCTAAAGACTGCAACTTTTCTCTTTGTAACATCCTGATCAGGTTTGGTTCTAATCATAATGTAACATTATTGAAAAACTGATATTTTTTTTTTTCAGTACAAAAACTGCTAAACTTTGACAAAAAGTAACTTATATTGTTATAATTATGATTTCATAATATGTAGATATGCATATATCAAAAATGTAATTTGTTGCAAAGTGTATATATATGTATATGCATATTGCATAATGTGTATATATGTATAATGTATGTATATATATATATATATATATATATAAACAAATGGCAAAATGGCAAAAAACTAAAATAACAGTGCATAAAAGGGTAAACTTATTAAACAAGTCCAATAACCTTGAATTATTAACCTATTAACACAGTATACCCCATTTCCCCATGATATATGTACTTACAAGGCATTTGCCCACCGGCAACTATAGTTGCCGCTTGCACTTTTGACTAAGTATACAAAAAACTATAGATCTATTGTAAGATTTGTTTTGTTTAGAGGATTCTAGAGACCTTCATGATTATATTGATATATATATGTCAACAAAAAATACTTATTAGTAATATGAAAATTTGCTTTCTTTGGGAGGGTTTGTCTTCGCCATGCTTCCTGGAAGTAGGGGTAGGAAGTTGACAGCCTCATGTGACAGGAAGGAAGTGAATACCTTTTTTTTTTTCTTGAAATCCTTTATTTGGTTGTTTCCTTGCATGACATTGCGACATTCAACATGGATAACATCTAGAAAAATACTTACACAAGGAAAATGACAACTATACAAAGCGGCAACTATAGTTGCCGGTGGGCTTAAATGGGTTAAGTCAGAATTGCGAGATATAGAGTCAGAATCACGAGATATAGAGTCAGAATTGTCAGAAATGTAAATTTGGCAATTGTGAGATGAAAAGTCTCAATTATCTTTTAAAATGTTTTATTCTGTGGCGGAAACAAGCTTCCATAATTTATCTTCATAACATCTTTAAATATGTGTGCTTGTGTGTTGTAATTTACAGCTGTGTTTATCTTATATTCATGAATTTCAGTAATATTGAACAGTGAAATCATTGATGATTGTTTGTGGTGTTCAGGGTCTCAGACCGTCCACAGCAGATGCTGAAGGCTGTGAGCCGCCCAATGCACAAGAGCATCATGGGAGAAAACCGTGTCAGAGCGGGAAACTGCAGGGACAGGAGGTCACTGTCGTCACACTCCTATTCATGATCGTTAGATAACGACACCTCAGTGTGCTGAAGGCCTCTGTGTGTGTGTGTGTGTGTTGCAGGAGTACCTGAAGCAGCTCCAGCGAATCAGAGAGCAGTATCATAATGATGTCAGAGAGATGAGAATGAGAGCAGAGGTCGAGGTACGTTTTGTTGGTTCTGGACATTGATGAGTGTTGAGTAAGTGCCATCATTGATGTATATGACTTTCAACTCTGTCTGGCTCTAGGGAATAGGGATGCAACAAAGGACAAAAAAAATAAATATGTATATATATATATATATATATATATATATATAGAGAGAGAGAGAGAGAGAGAGGGGGGGGGTAGATATGTATATTTAATATATACAATTATTAAAATATAAACTCACAATTTGACATTATATTCATAAAACTAGATTTTTTATATATATTACATATATTAAAATGCTAATGAATTTATTCATAAATAGATATTGAATATATAATATATCAGTGTTTCTCCAATCTGCATTTAAAGAGCAGAAAATATCTAATATATACAATATATTTAAATTATTAATATTTATTATTATACAATATATATATATATATATTAGGGCTGTGCAAAAGTTAATTGCGATTAATCGCATCCAAAATAAAAGTCTGTGTTTACATAATATATTTGTGTGCGCTGTATATAATTATTTTGTATATATAAATACCTATGCATGCATGTATATATTTAAGAATTATTTGCGCTTAAATTCTGTATATATTTATAAATACATAATCTATATTATATAAATGTAATAAATATAAATATTTTATATATGAATAACACATTTTCTTAAATATATACATGCATGTGTGTGTATTTATATATACAAAATAATTATATTCCACACACACAAATATATTATGTAAACACAGACTTTTATTTTGGATGCGATTAATCACAATTAGTTTTTGCACAGCCCTAATATATATATATATATATATCAACAGCATTTCTATTTTTAAATCCACTTTGAAATCAGTTGATGATTATAAATTCAGAGATGATTCATACAGAAATCAAATTACTGTAGCGCTGTGATGTGATATACTGAGGAGTGTGTGTGATGATGTTCTCAGGACAGACGAACAGACCTACTGAGGAAGAGCAGACACACACACGCACGTGGGAAAGAGCAGCAGGTATAAACGCACACACACAAAACACATGATGACAAGACGCACACTCACGTTTGAGCGCTCCGACACGCGTGTGTGTTTCAGAGAGGGATCATGTTTGAGATCAAGCTGAGTGATGAAGAGCACGCCGAGATGAAGACTGACGAGGAAGACGAGGAGTCAGAGGTGGACGGACTCTCACACACTCATGATCAGTGCTGCTGGGATTGTTACTTTTCCTTGATCTCTGTTTTACAACGATGTGAATGTGGGCTAATAATGATAAAGATGACGGTTGACCAGGTGTGTGTGTGTGTGTGTGACAGGACAAGCCCCTAAACGACACACTGACGTTGGAGCGTGGAGAAAACATCCACAACGGTCCACACGGCTCAGACGAAGAGGAGCAGAAGAAGAGAGCTGGATGGTGTCGGGACGCCGCTGACACTTTACTGAACGCTCTCGAGCGCATGGACGTGACGACAGAGAGTATCAGTGACACTCAGACAGGTGACACACACACACACACTTTACTGAATGCTCTGAATAAACCCCCTCCAGGTTCATGAAGACCTGATCCTGATCACCCTGTCGGGTTTATTCTGATAGAACAATCATCTGGATGCACATTATCACACACACACACACACACACACACATCAGCTGAATGTGTCTCCAGCTCATGGTCTGCTGGTTTGTGTGTTGATGTAGATTCAGAGGAGCAGGAGGAAGGACACAGAAAGCTCTGGACGAAGCGTTTGCCGGAGACGCTCCTGAACGCTCTCGCTCAAGCACAGCTCACGGGTAAACGTCACACTGATCACACACACATCACACTGATCACCAGGGACGTGCACAGACATTTTGAGGGCTCAAGTGGAAAAAAAGGGCACTTCTCATATTTTTTTTTTTTTTGTTTAGTTAATTTATTTTACTTTTTTTAAACAAAAAAGTATATACTATATATTAACACAACTCTAATAATATATATATATATATATTTAATATTTAAAAAGTTAATTAATTTTATCTTCCTCTATAGGCATATACACTAGACCTCAACTGGGGGTTCTAAGCATGCGTCAAAACCGCCGCCATCTTGGAACAGGGGTCTTGTCATAGGAAGTAGCTAGGTAACGCTGCTATCTCTGCCTTTACTTCGAATTCATTGATGGTGGCGGACTTTTGTGCAGCGTATGATGTTCACGGATGAAATCTGAACTAGGAAGAATGTTTTACAAAAAATTTTTAAAAATTAAAAAAAAAAATTTCTTTCTGGAATCAATGATAAATACATGTCTGACCGTTGGAACAAACTAAAAAACAAGAAAAATCGCATTCATGATGATTTGTGATGATTTTATTTGCGTTAGACCTGCGTCTACTACATTGACGCTGATGCATTAAAGTGGAGAGGCTCCCCTGTTTCAAGATGGCGGCTCTATTGACGCATTCGTTCCAATGAACTGCCGTATCCAAGGTGAGGTCTAGTGTATATGTCTATGATCTTCCTCAAACTCATACAATTGTTTAATTTTCAAAATAATCAGTTCACACAGAAATCATGGTCTCCTTAGTATTCAAATAAGGAAACCATGCCACAGTGTGTCAATCAAAGACATATTTGATACACCTGATGGTGACATGGACTTCACATTTGAGGGAGAACTATATCATCATCAAAAAAAACCTTCAAAATCCACATTTCGAGTTTGTTTCTGTTTGCATCTGTAGATTTCTTCTAAATTCACCAATTTAGATTTCTAAACTTCAGGGGAAAGACTCCTAATGTGGCTATGCAAGTCATTAACTTTAATAATAAGAATTTTAGGCCATACAAATTCATAAAAACGTCCAGATTTTCCATACAAGGCCATAAATTACATTTATCCACGTCTTAAATTGATATCCTCATTCATTCATTATCACTATACAATTTTTCGCGATAAAACGATATCAAGTTCGAGTCAAAATCGTCAATACTCGATATCAATATAGAGTAATATGTATTTTCTTAAAAAATAAAATAAAAAAGCACCGCAGAAAAAAAGGGCACTTTCTCTCCAGGAATAAAAAGGGCAGGTGCTCAAGCCCCCTTTGATGTCTATGCGTGCACGTGCCTGCTGATCACACACACATCACACTGATCACACACACATCACAATAACAACCACTGCAACTCACACGGGTTCAGTGAGGTGACGTGTGTGTCGTTCACACAGAGACGCTGATGTCATCAGATGAGAAGAGTCTGACAGAGGAAGAGTGTGATGAGTGTGATGATGAAGAGCGTCTGGAGCCTCGATCAGATGATGAGGACACGTAAGTGACACACACACACACACACGTCTGGTTTGCTATCTTTGTGGGGACTTCGCATAGACGTAATGGTTTTATACTGTCCAAACTGTACATTCTGTCTCCTTACACTAAACCTGCCCATCACACACACACACACACGCACACACACACTAACCCGACCCCTAAACCAGCCCATCACACACACACATCACACACACTAACCCGACTAGTGTTAATTTTACCAGCCATTTTTAAATTTAGTTTCAGTTTTAGTCCAGTTTCAGCATCGCTTGTTAGTTTTTATCACATTTAGTCGACATCATCCCATTTTTATTTAGTCTAGTTTTAGTCGACTATAAGTCGAGCATTTTAGTCTTTATTTTAGTCCAAGAAAACATAATTTTATTCGTTTAGTTTTAGTCAAAAAAAACTGTCAACATTTTAGTCTAGTTTTAGTCAGGACATCATTTTAACCTTTTACTTTGTTGTCAGCAGATAATATTAAACATTTCCTAAAATTATTTCACATTTCAACATTTTCGCTCATCTTTTTGATAAAAAAACACAATTTTAAGGAACACATGCAGACATGGAAGATGTTCTGACAATATTTGCATATTTATTTTGAACATTGTTAAGGTTCAAAGACACAAACACAAATGCTTGCATTAAAACAAATAAAATACACCTGACAAAGGAAACAAATAAATAAAATAAAGTGTATTATGAACTTAACACAAGTGCTGGCTGTTTAAAGCTAGTTCACATAGAATAATAAAATAAATAGATTTGAGGTCAATGTTGTGAAAAAAAAAAAAAAACTCCAACTGATACAACAAAAGTGCTTTCCTGCCAGCTAGTTCACATGGTATATAAAGGTACAGTATTTAAGGTAAAACAAGGCATAGCTTGCTAGAACGTATGAAATCTTTTTAACTAATCTTTTTAAAGCGTCTGTCTGCTTTAATCAAATTTAACTGAAACTATAGTTGCCCGGCCAGTATAACATATCTAAGTTAGCATAAATTTAACTTCACATACAATTCTATCAACAAGTGGCTACGGTCGCTACGTGCTAAGAAGCTAACGTAACATAGCCAGCCTGGATACTAAATGCTATGAAAGTTAGCCATCATTAGTTAGTTTATCATTGTAACAAAATGTGTCCATATATCACGTCTCTTCTTTCTCACGAGCCCCGTGCAAAGCATGTTTACTTTTAACCTGTCGCCGCCGCCTCACCGTGAATCCAGCTCCTGTCTGCTCATGTGTTGTGTAGGCTACTCTGACTGTGCCCGCCCGCTCCAGGTTTAAACGTGGGTGTGTGTGGCGGAAGAGCTGACGAGGAGGAGGCGGAGGAGGAGACAGGATTTGACAAAACCATATCATATAATAATATGTAATTTTCGTCTCGTCTTTGTTCGTGAACTAAAATGTCCATAGATTTTAGCCCAGTCTTTATTTACCGAACTGCATTTTCGTCTCGTCTTTATTAGTCTACGAAAATTATTTCTGATTTACTCCCAGTTATTGTTTATTAGTGGGGATTTTAGTCTCGTCTCGTCTAGTTTTCGTTCGGTGAAAAATGTGCGTTGACGAAAATATTTTCGTTTAGTTTTCGTTAACGAAATTAACACTAAACCCGACCCCTAAACCAGCCCATCACACACACACATCACACACACACACACACACACACAGACACACTAACCCGACCCCTAAACCTGCCCATCACACACACACACACACACACACACACACTAACCCGACCCCTAAACCTGCCCATCACACACACACACACACACTAACCCGACCCCTAAACCAGCCCATCACACACACACATCACACACACACACACACTAACCCGACCCCTAAACCTGCCCATCACACACACACACACACACTAACCCGACCCCACACGCCGTGACTGACGTCTGCTTCCCATCAGGAACTTTGAGGAGTCGGAGGACGAGCTGAGAGAGCAGGTGTCCGACTCCATGAGGAACCTCTTCATCATCACACAGGAGGAGGACGAGCACACACACACCGATGACCCGACGCGTGAAGCAAAGGAGGAGGACGAGCACACACACACCGATGACCCGACGCGTGAAGCAAAGGAGGAGGACGAGCACACACACACCGATGACCCGACACAGGAGAGTGTGAACAGCAGCGCAGAGGAAGATTCCCAGAAAACCACAGTGGAATGAAGGAATCCTCCTTTCGTCCTTTTGTTTCTCAAGCTGACATATGATAAATACATACACATATACAGGGTTTGAAATGAACACTCGCCAAATGTGTGTAAAATCAACAGTGGCGGGAAACGCTGTCAGATCACGAGCCAATCTGCCGTGTTACCTACTATTGCTGTGGAAGTTTGTGTGAGACTAATCTGCACTGATTTAGTGCAAATACTCGTGATATATTAAATACAGCGAAATCTGCTCATTTCTGGCTTACTGTAACCAGTGTTGGGTAAGTTACTCTAAAAAAGTAATTAGTTACTAGTTACTAATTACCTCTTCAACAGTGTAATTAGATAACTGTACTAATTACACTCTCTAAAAAGTATTTAATTACTTTTAATTACTAATTACTTTCAAAATCCCATATCAATCTCAACCAGCTGAATAATACAAGGATAGACATGAATCTGTTTTAATTCTTTCAATAAATACTATAAAATTGCATGAATTATCCTTAAACTGACCAAGGAGAAGGTTATATTATAAAAACATACTTTTTAACATCAGACAATACATTTTGATGTTAAACCCACTATTGTTTTATGTCTGATCTCATGACATTTCACACTTTTTTCATACAAATTTTACAATAATTCATATGAATTTGTACGAGTGCGGTCACCTCATAAAATGCATACGAATCGCTGTGAGATCGGATTGATCCATACACAGTATTTACCTCAATTACATCAGAAGTAACTGTAATTAAATTACAGATAAATGAAGAATAATCCCTTACTTTACATTTTCAAGGGAAAAGTAAGTAAATTACAGTAACTAATTACTTAGTAATCAGTTACACCCAACACTGACTGTAACACACACGTCACTACACAACACATAACGACGCGCTTGTTCACTTGTGAATATTAAAAGCATTTGGTGAACAGAAAAGACATTGTTATTTTCCATAATCCTACATACACATGTATATGCAGATCTGTGACATACTGTAAGTACATTTCTCTGTTTTTTTTGGCTAGTAGAAGTTCTGAATGGCCGGTAAAGTTTGTCAGCCAGATTGGCCGGTGAGTGAAAAAGTTCATTTCAAACCCATATACACACACTCATACACACATTACCGGTCAAAAGTTTGGAAAAATGAAGAATTTTAAGAATACTTTTTCTGCTCATCAAGGCTGCATTTATTTGATTGTAGATACCGTAAGAACAGACAGTGATGCTGCTAAATATTATTCTAATGTAAATCATCTGTTTTCTATGTGAATATACAAGTGTAATTTATTCCTGTGATGTTCAACATCATTACTCCAGTCTTCAGTGTCACATGATCCTTCAGAAATCGGATGCTCAAGACACAACTCAGTCATTATTATCAATGTTGGAAACCGCTGTGCTGCTAATTCACATGTGTGTGTTCGTTCAGATGTTTTGAATGAACTGTAGTAGTTTAGAGTCAGAGTGGGTTTGATTCATGCAAATGCATTGATTTGTGACTTTGATTCAGTGAACATGTTTATTCACATTTTACTGTGTCCGTTTCATGAACGTTTTAATATATGAAGGTAAAGACTGCTGTTTATGGCTATGTATTATTATATTGGTACATTTCACTAGATTTTTGCCTTGATTATTTGAACTATAATTTTCTACGACTGATTCGTATGATGCTTCCTCTGAGAAAAATATTCTTTAAATAATTTCAGAGCAAATACAAAAACATATTTCGTTTATTTTTCTAATAACTGTAAAGTTGCTGTGGAACAATGTAGGCTACAGTATAAAGTATTAGATAAACACTGACAGGACAGTATTTGGCCTCGACAAGAAGTTCAAAACAATCAAAATGAAAGTATTTGACATGTTTTTTCCCATGGATTTGATGTTTGTGTGAGTGTTTTAGAGAAGTGTTGCTCTCAGCTCTGAGAAAACACACAAGCATGTTTATTACTTCACTAGAACCTTCCAATAAGTCTAGATTAGTAATTCTGGTTATTGCATACAGTTTTGATAAAAAAAAAAAATCAGTAAATCAATGTAAATTATTCCTGAGAAAAGTGTGATTGATTCATTTCATCAAAAAGGTAATATTTGTGATGTCCACTGGTTAAGCGATGCTTTTGAATTTGAAATGACTCAATGTAATGATGTAGTGAAGGGCCGTGTGTAGCAATGGGAAGAAGAGAGAAAAGGACGGTGGTTTTACAAAATTCAGAGGAAAGTCCGGGAAATGAGATGTACGGGAAGGAAAAGGAGAGATGAGACAATTATATCTCAAAATTTGACATACAGGATTAAACAGCACTATATTTAAAATAGGTAAACATAACACCGGCTGATGTGAATACTGTGAACAACAACAGACGTCATGATACACTAAAAAAAGGAGGGAAATCAACCAAAATTTGAAAAAGGAAAGAGTAAGGTTTGATTTAGTAGAAATTTTTAGGGAAAAATCTATGGAAAAGTGTTATGGAATTGTTTTACATTATTTTAGAATGATTAATATAAGTGAGAGGATTTATTTTTTTATTTATATAAGTAAGTAATCGTCATTCAGTTCCACACTCCATACCAGTTGGTAGCAGTAGTGCACCATTTCTGTGCCAACCGCCAAAAAACACGTGACGGTGGGACGTCATTCTAAACAGAGAGCCAAGATGGCGGCTGACAGTGATGTGAGTTTGTTTATGCCTGAATACGCATCATTTTGATCTGCATCATGTCAATGTCATATTTCTCATATAAATGCACGCAGTTTTTTGGAAATGTGCCTGCTTTATTCGGTTCTTTAACTGTCACGGGTTTCTGTTATAGCCCGAGTCTGAAGTGTTTGAAATCACTGATTTTACCACCGCATCGGAGTGGGAGAGGTAAGTTACAGAAAAAAAGCACATTTCCTCAGTAATCACACATTTCTGTAGCTTTTTATGATTAAAGTGCACTAAAATCATCTTGTGTTTGTGTTGTCAAGTCCTTACGAAAACCCATTCTTGCCACGTAAGAATAAAACATCATTTGACTTGGTAAAACATAATTATGATAATGATCATGTCGAAATTATGAAAGAGTAAACCATAATTATGAGATGAAAAGTCAAAATTATGAAATACTAAGTAGTTACATACTCGTTATGAGGTAAAAAAAAAGAGTCAACATAGTGAGATAAATAGTTATTGTTGACCATAACTGTTGTTGACCATAGTTGACCAGATCATTCAAATTTTTGATGATGACAGTATGTCATAATTTAGACATTTCATCTTATGAATATTGCTTACTATGTCATCATTTCAACTTGTCAAGTCATAAATATGACTCAGAATGTTATAATTTGTGCGTTTAATCGTTTCATCTTATAAACGACTTAAAAATAGTATTAGCCTGTATTCTGAAGCTTTTATGAATTACAATCATTTAAGCTCAGAATAAATGGTGCATTTTCACCTATATGGTCAAAAAGGTTTCTTTGTGTGATATTGGTTCATTTATGGTCACTGTCACTATATCATTGATTGGTATTTATATGACGGCACAGTAACTATTATGCATGAACTATTCATGCTATTATCCATTCTATATTATCCATTTATATATCCGAGGTTTTGTACTTGTGTGTCTTAGATTCATATCCAGGGTTGAGGAGGTGCTCAATGACTGGAAGCTGATTGGTTGTCGTGTTGGGAAACCACCGGAGAAGGTCATTACCCATGATTACAGTTACACGAATGTTTTCTGAAATGATGTACGCAGAAGTTAACAGTGTTGGTGTTGACAGGGCGAATACACCAGCGGCAGCTGGGAAGAGACGTCTCTAGAGATTAACTTTGCTGATTTCAAGTTCTCCATTACACATCACTATCTGAAACAGGAGTCGACAGACAGTGAAGGCATAGATGAACCAGAGGAAGGTACGTTTGGCCTTTGACCTCGTCGGCTGACCTTTGACCTCTTCTGCGTGTGTTGAACGGTGTCTTCTGCTTTCAGATGCGTATCCGCTGGCCATGCAGGACCTGCTCTGCATGAACAATGACTTTCCACCTCGAGCGCACTGTCTGGTCAGATGGTAAGAAGCTCTGTCAGATTTTACAAAGGACTTCATATTCAAATAGTGATTGAGAATCTAAAATATGATGCAGTGCAACGTTAGTATTTAGTTTATAACACAGTTTATAGATCATATCACTGTACCTGCGTGACTCGTCATAGAAGTAGTTCCAGCTACAATGTTCTTCCGAAAGACGCATTATTCTGTTAATAAACGCAAGTTTATAATCGCTCACTATAGCGTCAAAAGCATAAAAAATAAAAATATTGAGGCCCCAGACAGCAATCATACAGTAATAGCCTATTCTTCTTTCTTTTTTTTACCTACACACCAGTGTGAATATTTCTGTTTTTGCATTTCAAATAGGGGAAATATATAGGCTTCTCCTAGGCTTATGTTTTTAAATTACAAAGGGCTACTGCTGTTTTTGTTTTGTATTTTCAATATTATATGCTAATATTTGTGCATAAACATATCTGGTTATAGTAAGCATACCGTTTGTTTGAAAACAACATATATGCGTAGTATTGAAGGAAAATGAAAATTGACTCCCAAAAAAATTGGAGTAGGATTTACTTGAAAAAGGCTAGGCAACTTTTTTCACTTTGAAAATCCTAGTAAATTTACAAAGATTTGCCAAGTAAAAACCTAAACATGTTTATCAGTAGCTTTAATTAGAAATATTTAAGTTAAATTTACCTGGAATATGGAGTTAAGTAAACTTTACAGAAAATAAGTAATTTTAACTTGGCTAGTAAAAGGTTGATTAATATCGATTTAGTTGAAATTTCCTTTGCCTTTCCATTACATTTCACTAAAACAATAATATTGAGTTTTATTAGTCATTTATAGTAATTAATTTATATTACATCGTGTCAGATGATAAGCATCATGTGAACGCAAAGACCTCAATACTTGGCAGACAATACACACTGGGTCGTTTTTGTGTTTGAATGTGTCATTTTGAGCAAAAAATGTACTCGAAATGTCACAAAATAACAACTGACAACAAAAATCAAATGATAAAACAGTGTAAATACAGCTGGAAACCAGTAAAAATGAACCTCATTAATTATTCAATGTCCAGTGAAGGATGGGAACCCCAGTATCAGACAAGTTGAGTAACTTTTACTTAATTTTATTGAGTTGATATTTACACTTTCATTTCTACTAGCTTGAGTACTGATATGGAATTTACGTAGTTTTTTTTATTCTTGCCTGAACTAACTTTTTCATGTAAATTACATTGTTTTTTCAGTAGTATTTACTTCACCAAAAAATCATTTTCAAGGCGAGGCTGGTGAAAAACAGCATAGACTAGTCATTGAGTTTCCACAAAGAGGAGTTGCCTGTATATGAACATGCATGTGTGTGTGAAGTCCTGACGCTCGCCTCTGTTGTGCTGTAGGTTTGGCATGCGTGAGTTTGTGGTGATTTCTCCTGGAGCGAACTGTGAAGCCATCGTCAGCGAGTCCAAGTGTAACCTGCTCCTGAGCTCCGTGTCCATCGCTCTGGCAAACACAGGCTGGTGAGTCCCAGCATGCTCCTGGATCTCTGATGAACACGTGTTTCCGTCCACACCTGTGATCCTCACGTCGTTTCTATCGTTGCTCCATTCGCCTGTAAAATCTCCTGCTTTGTTTTTTATATTTTGACGGTGAAAGAACATTTTAGTCATTTTCAAACGATTCTCTGGTTCAGATTGAAAGTGTCTGGTTTTACATTACTGTTATGATTTATTATTGTTATCATCAATATAATTTCAAGATCAGGGGGGTCAATTAGAAAGAGTGGAAAAAGGTGTCACACTCGTACTGTGTGTGAAGAAAAAGTCTCTTGTGTTGAATTTAGGACTGTCGGATTTAACGCAACAATAACACACAGTTAAAAAAGATTCACCCATCAAGTCTGCGTTTTTTTCCTTACATTAAACATTATTTGTAGCACCTCCATTCCAATAATCGCAAATAGCTTGTGTTTTGTTACATCTGATAATAAATAAAGTCTCATCTTTCAAATTCTGTCAATTTTATTACAAATTTCTAGGGCTGGACCCGAATATTATTCGTTCGGTGGGTTGAAAATGTGACATTTGAATATTCGTTTTTGTTGTTGTTGTTTTTTATTTAAATTTCGTTTTTCTATATTTAAGTTATTTTTTTTTTATTATCGTTTTATTTATTTAAATTTATTTTTTATTTACTTAAATTTCGTTTTTATTTAAATTTCATTTTTATGTTTTATTTATTTAAATTTACTTTTTAATTTAAATTTCCTTTTGTTTTATTTATTTAAATTTACTTTTTATTTATTTAAAATTCGTTTTTATGTACATTTTGGTTTTATGTTTTATGTATTTAAATTTCGTTTTTATTTCTTTAAATTTAGTTCTTAATTTAAATTTCCTTTTGTTTTATTTATTTAAATTTCGTTTTTATTTATTTAAAATTCGTTTTCATGTAAATTTGTTTTTATGTTTATGTATTTAAATTTCATTTTTATTTATTTAAATTTCGTTTTTATTTAAATTTCCTTTTTATGTTTTATTTATTTAAATTTCGTTTTTATTTATTTAAAATTCGTTTTTATTTAAATTTTGTTTTTATGTTTCATTTTTATTTTATTTCGTTTTTATGTTTTATTTATTTAAATTTAGTTTTCATTTATTTAAACCTTCTCTACTTTGTTGCCATGGTTTACTGGGGCATTGTGGGATAGGTAGTGTTTTTAGTAATCTCTTATCGCCTCTTTTTAAATGCTTTATGTGGATGTTCTGCATATTGCGTCGTGTGATGGGTTTTGTTATTACTGTACTGTGTAATATATTCTCTGTAATTGTTCATGCAATGATATGAATTATGGGTTTTGAGAGATGCTTTGGGTCTGTTTGATTAATTGAAAGCAAAAATGTTGTTTAACTTTATAAATGCAATTACATCTGACATATTGCTGCAGGACACTTAGAGCAGCAGTGCTACTGTTTTGACATCAGGTGGCGCTGTTGAGCTGTGTTAGCGCGTGTGTGTTCATCTGCTACTTACACCAGAGCACAGGAACTTCATGTGTTAAAGTTCTCATGCATTTAATAATTCTATCCCTTAAAACTCATCTTTGATTTTTTTTTTTTTCCTGTGAAAATAATTCTAGCCTTAAAATAGCTTGAATGTAACCCGACACCCTTGCTTCATTTAGAATACATGGCTCATGAATATGCAAATTAATCTCCACCTCCATTCAATCACAGTGGCTCGGATTACCTGATCCACTCGGTGGACCGTAGGAAACTACACAATATGGCAGGTGGAAATGTTGGTCTAAGTACGTTTGAGTGAATTATACAGGCTCGTCTACAAGTCGATGTATCAGAACGATAATTCGTTTTATGTATTAACATCAGACACATGACCGTAATTGATATGATTAGCCTTTCGCTTGACTAGGTTATCAAACAGCTAATAATGTTTTGCTAATGTTGCTAAAACAAACACAAAGCATGTGTTCTTCTGTTTTCAGCCACGTGCCGCTGTTTGTCCAGATCCAGCAGAAGTGGAGGAGGATGTTTGCGGGCGAGTGTCAGGGACCCGGCGTTCGCTCGGACTTCGAGATCGTGCATCTGCGTAAAGTGCCCAGCCAGTACAACCACCTGTCCGGTCTGCTCGACATCTTCAAGAACAAGATTGTGAGTTCACAAGATTGTGACTTTGACTGTGGCTTAGATGTAGTAGATAGTCAGACTGAATCTAAATCAGCACTTAAGACTCTGACTATCTTAAGTAGGATTACACTGCAATGCATTCTGGGTAAAACAAGACGCTTTTCAAAACAAAAAACATGGCGGATCGTGTAAGCGCATTCAGCCGCTCAGTGCAGTTTACCCCAGTGGGAAATATGTGCGTTGGAGGAGTGTAACAGTTACAAGGACTTTTTATTTGGGAAATTTAGCGGAGAATGTTAGCCTGGGTTTCCCCATGCGCACTGCGCAGAGTGATTTTATTCACGCTGCTAGGCAGCCTGGACACTAGGCCTGGGTATCGTCACAAATTTCACAAGTCGATTCAATTTCGATTCACAAGCTTGCAATTCGATTCGATTCCGATTCGATTCAATATTGATTATTTTGGATATCAGTTACAATAAATGGCAAATTTTCTCAAGGAAATCAAATCTTATAACTAATACTGTAAACTATGGGAGTCTAGTTGTAGCCTATAGGCTTCATTAGCCTAATTACACTTTTATTTACTTTTATAATGATAAGATTAAATGAAATATAAACATTTAAATGGTGGCTGTCAAAAAAACTTGCCAGATTTATTCAAATATGCATTAAATATTAAAGAACATTAAGATTATTATGCATATGTAAAATGGTGTATATATTTAGCAAAATGCTCCTCTCTAGAGTTATTTTTTCTAGCTGACTAACGAGTTTATGTGGGTTTTCTGAGGTAAATATGACGATACATTGATTACAAGCTGTTTAACGGTTGAAACGCTGATTGAGCGAATCAATGTGACATGAATCATGATCCGGATTTCGATAAGTTGTACTCTATCTTTTAACTCACTTTCAGATGCTCATTCATGTTTATTTCGCGCTGTGACTGGTATTATTAACCCGGAAGTGAGATCAGCGCGGCTGTTTCTCCTGAGCTGCGTCAGAGCGATCTCACGCCACAGCGCCAAAACGCTATTTATGTTTTTGAATTTCTAAAGAAAATGGACGTAACTTGAAATTTGAGACTTTGTTTCATATCAATAGTAACAAAGGACAAAGATTATTGCGATTTGTTTTTGGATGCGCGCAGCCGCGATACAATGCTCCATTCATTCAAATGAAACAGGATGACTAATCGATTCATGAGATTTAAGAATCGATAGCGGTTCGTAAAAATGAGAATCGATTAATATCGAGAAATCAATATTTATTACCCAGCCCTAGTTTTTTTTTTTTTTTTTTTGATAACAATGGTAAATGGTAAATGGACTGCATTTATATAGCGCCTTCATAGACCTAATGGCCACCAAAGCGCTTTACATATTGCCTCACATTCACCCATTCATACGCTCATTCACACACCGACGGCGGTGTCAGCCATGCAAGGCGCCAGCCAGCTCGTCGGGAGCAGCTGGGGTTAGGTGTCTTGCTCATGGACACCTCGACACTTTGCCAGGTGGAACCGAGGATTGAACCACCAACCTTTCGGTTCATAGACAACCCACATGAACCACTGAGCCACTGCCGCCCTATAATAACTAGTACAAACAAGAAGAACATCAATATACAATCAAGCGTTTGTACAGACAAAACCATACCAAAAACAGAAGCAAGAAAAAAACAAACACAAAACAAATACAAAAAAAAAAAAAAAAAAAAAATGATAACAACAACAAAAAGAAACATACATACATAGTAAATGAAAGAGGAAAAATAATAAGGATGTTAAGAGGAATTGGGGAATAGGTCAAAATATTGAGTGGACACCATGAACCAAATTTCATGACATCACTGAGGTTGAGTCGTGCGACAGCTTTGGATATCTAGCATGCTAAATATTTTTCTGGGCTCGGCGAGGCGTCTGCAAGCGCCTTTGATGCGTTGTTGGCTTTTTCATACTCACAGATTGGCGAGCGTTCATCGGAGAGCTCAACGAATTGCAAATCGGGCTTAAAATTATGTAGTGTGAACTAGGCTTAAAGGAGTGATTCACTTTAAAAAAAAACTTTTACTGATAATTTACTCGCCCCCATGTCATCCAAGATGTCCATGTCTTTCTTTCTTCAGTCGAAAAGAAATTAAGGTTTTTGACGAAAACATTCCAGGATTTTCTCCATATAATGGACTTCAATGGGGACCAAACGGTTCAAGGTCCAAAAGACCGTTTCAGTGCAAACTGTTCAAAGGGCTTTAAACGATTCCAGACGATGAATAAGGGTCTTATTAAGCGAAACGCTCATTTAAAAAAAAATAAAGTTTAAGTTTTATAATAGAGCCAGACCTATATATCGGCCGATATTAGGCATTTTCCAAACTATCGGTATCGGCATTTATAATGGCCGATTAATGAATATTTCAAAAATAAAATAAAAATGGACGAAAGCTTGGAAACCACAATGAACTTTTTCTGCCTAAATAAAGTAATGATTAATGTATTTATAGCTAGCATATCTGTAGTTACAGTCCCTGCATTGTAAAATGTAAGTTAGACTTGCGAGGAGTGAACATTTAGATATAGAGAAAAAGTATCAAACATATCTTGTGCATAAAAGTTAGCTTTTCTTTTACATGTGTGTGTGTGTGAAATCCAACGACGCCAAGTGTGTGTTGCAGACTGTCGTTCTGTAATGGATTTAGATTGGAATCGCTAAATAGCAACTGATGATTGAAAATGGTTTGATGTAGCTTAATGGAAAGAATTTAAAAAATGCAGGTAAAGGGATAAGCAAGCTTATAGCTTATAAGGCAATGTAGGGACTAATTATTATTTTATTTATCAGAACTTTAATATATTTTGATGTTCCTCTGTTCTGTTGTGACAATAAAAGAAACAAGTTTCTTTTTTTAAAATGCACTATCATATAATTTTAGTTAAAACTCATAAATAACAAATAACTATGTTAGAGAAATAAATCTGTTAATGTTTTGTTGCGTGTTTCTGAAAAAAAAAAATATCGGCTGATATATCGGAATTTAAAAACAAAAAAATATTTGTATCATTATCGGCCTTCAAAATCCTTTATCGGTCGGGCTCTATTTTATAAGCTCAAATTGTCGCCTTGCTCTGTTCTGTGGCGCACGTTCGTGAATCTCCTGTTCGAACTCGTTCATCAAAATGAACGAATCTTTTTCCGAATCAATTCGTTCGTTGAATGAACTAAATGACAAATGACTTTACCAGGACTACTAGTAAGTGGCTTTACTAGTTTATTCATTTATTCATTCATCACTTTTCTAATCAAAACTCAAATGCATTTCTTTGATATTGATTAACTGCATTTACTTGTTATAAAAAAGGTGCATTTGATAGGTATGCATTTTTCAGTTGAAATGTAATAATTGCACGATTGATTGTTTTCTTTCTTTTGTCATTTTTGCCATCCGTCTCCTTCAGTCTCTTGATGTTTTGTGTCCACAGGGCTGCCCACTGATGCCGCTGCCACCCATCAACATCGCCATTCGCTTCACGTACATCCTTCAGGACTGGCAGCAGTGCTCGTGGCCTCAGCAGCCGCCAGGTGTGTGTCTGATCTGAGATCAGTCTGCAGCGTTTCAGCATGTTGTCCTCACTAGAAGCCTTGTTAGGAGGGTTTAATGACTTCACGGACGTACCGGCTGCACTGAGCACTTCGGTTTTCTGTTCTGGAACTCTTAAAGTCCCCCGTCAGTCATTTTATCGCTTAAATGTCTTCTTTGATCACCAAAATGACATTTTTAAATGTGTTTTTATTGAAAAAAAAATTATTCATGCCTTAAAATATCTTGAATGCAATTCGACACCCTTCCCTCATTTAGTATACGCTGATCTATGAATATGCAAATGAGCCCCGCCTCCACTCACTCACTCAGAGATCCACTGGTTGACGATCACACGTTGATTTCAAACTGTGTTTTTGAGACTGTCTTTGGTTCACTGCAGTTTTAAGGAGGAAAATACTCAGCAATGCTGTCCACTTATCAACTTACACACGGTGTGTGTTAAAGCGGATTAAAAACACCACATATTAACAACGTTAAACGCTGGATTTTCCACACAGGACTTTCTGAACTTTAACTAAAAAGGCTTTCAGAGCAGCTAAAAGAGGTCATTGAGACGGCAGTGAGAAATCATGTTAGCTGTAGTCAGAACAACTGAGTCAACTCAACTCAAGTCAAATATGAGATTATTATTGACGTTCTGCTACACTGCAAAAAAAGTTATTCCTCTGTATTTTAGTCCTGTTTTCCAGGACAAATATCTAAACATTCTTAAATGAAGGTACATTTACTGGAGAAGCAACATGCCAATAAAGTCACAATTGCATGTTATAAAGTCAGAATTGCGAGATATAAAAGAATTGCGAGATATAAAGTCACAATTGCGAGATATAAAAGAATTGTGAGGTATAAAGTCAGAATTGCAGAATTGCAAGATATAAAGTCAGAATTGCAGAATTGTGAGATATAAAGTCAGAATTGATTGATATAAAGTCAGAATTGCAGAATTGTGAGATATAAAGTAAGAATTGATTGATATAAAGTCGCAATTGCATGTTATAAAGTCAGAATTGTGAGATATAAAGTCAGAATTGATTGATATAAAGTCGTAATTGCATGTTATAAAGTCAGAATTGATTGATATAAAGTCAGAATTACAGAATTGCGAGATATAAAGTCAGAATTGATTGATATAAAGTCGCAATTGCATGTTATAAAGTCAGAATTACGAGATATAAAGTCAGAATTGATTGATATAAAGTCAGAATCGCAGAATTGCGAGATATAAAGTCAGAATTGATTGATATAAAGTCAGAATTGATTGATATAAAGTCACAATTGCGTGTTGTAAAGTCAGAATTGTGAGATATAAAGTCAGAATTGATTGATATGAAGTCAGAATTGCGAGATATAAAGTCAGAATTGATTGATATAAAGTCAGAATCGCAGAATTGCGAGATATAATGTCAGAATTGATTGATATAAAGTCAGAATTGATTGATATAAAGTCACAATTGCGTGTTGTAAAGTCAGAATTGTGAGATATAAACTATTCTGAAGGGAAAAAAGTTAGTCTTTTTTTTCCCCTTAGAATTGGCCTGATAACTCACAATTGCGAGTTTATATCTTACAATTCTGAGAAAAGATGTCAGAATTTTGAGATATAAACATTTGCAATTATGTGATATAAAGTCAGAATTGCGAAATGTAAACTTGCAATTGTGAGAAAAAAAGTCTCAATTGTGTCTTTTTTTTCTCATAATTGCAACTTTATATCTCGCAATTGCGACTTTATTTGTCAGAATTGCAAATGTTTATATCTCAAAATTCTGACATCTTTTCTCAGAATTGTAAGATATAAACACGCAATTGTGAGTTATCAGGCCAATTCTAAGGGAAAAAAAAGACTAACTTTTTTCCCTTCAGAATAGTTTATATCTCACAATTCTGACTTTACAACACGCAATTGTGACTTTATATCAATCAATTCTGACTTTATATAAGTTCTATAAGTTTATGAACATTATTTTGTATAAAATATATATTTTATCTCAAAAACGACTAGAAAATCAAAGCCATCAATATAAAGAAGTTGTGTTCCAAATTTGAGGATGCTATCTCAAAAAATGAGCTTTCAGTAAGATTTAGTTTGGGCGCAGTACCATTTTTGTCCAAAATCGTATGCGTATCTAGTGCAAAAAACGATTTTTTATGGAAATAGTGGTGTAATAGTAAAATTACAATAAAAAGACACACCTGTGCCGAATTTTACGCGGTTCGCATTAACACAGGCAAAGTGATAAAATAAAAATAAAAACTGAAAAGGCCAAAAATGTCCCTATTAAGGCGGCATAACATCTTCAGTCTTTTTCCTTCTCCAGTAAATATATCTTGATTTAAGAATGTTTAGATATTTGTGCTGGAAAACAAGAACATCGAAGCTGTTTTGCTTGATTTGACCTGTTATTTTATATTTATTATTATTTTGCAGTGTAGGCGCAGCAGAATGTTTCCTAGGGAGTATGGAAATTTTTATTTGATACATTGGAGAAACTTTTGCTGTTGCCATGGAGTCGCATGCGTGTCGATCAGGACATCTCTGTCAATATTACATTTACTCAGTGGATTGGGTGCGCTGTGAGTGTTTACCTCTGTATTAAGGAGATGTGTACACAGGCAGATGATAATATTCTACGTATATCCTGAGTTGATTAATTTCACTGCTCTATATTACTTTGATCATAAGCTAAAATGAAAGTCAAAGTTAATATAAAATGAAAAGGTGTGTGTGTGTTGTTTTTAGACTTTGATGCGCTTCTCACTGGAGAGGTGGGCGGCGTGGAGTTTGGCAAACTTCCTTTTGGAGCGTGTGAAGATCCCATCAGGTGCGTTTGTGTTCAATGTCACGGCGGTAGTTAATGTTCAGAGATCATTTCTTAATACCAAACTGCATTAAAACATCATTAAAGGGAAATCTGAATAAATAGATAATTATATAGGTTAATAATCCGACTTAATGCATCAGTGAGTGTTATTGACTGAAAGGGAAAAGTATTTTTCGGCAACGTGAGATTATATTCATGACAACTACGCACGTTTTGCCCAAATTCTCACTACTGTAATGCAATAAAACAAATATACTTATGTTCTATATATATATATATATATATATATATATATATATATATATATTAGGGCTGTGCAAAGATTAATTATGATTAATCGCATCTAAAATAGAAGTTTGTGTTTACATAAGATATGTGTGTGTGCTGTGTTTAATTATTTTGTATATATAAAAACAAATGCATGCATTTATATATTTAAGAATTATTTGCATGTAAATCCTATATATAAATACATAATCTATATTATGTATAAATATTTTATATATAAATAACACATTTTCTTAAATATATACATGCATGTGTGTGTTTTTATATATACAAAATAATTATACACAGCACACACACATATATTATGTAAACACAAACTTTTATTTTGGATGCGATTAATCACAATTAATCTTTGCACAGCCCTAATATATATATATATATATATATATATATATATATATATATATTAGGGCTGTGCAAAAATTAATTGCGATTAATCGCATCCAAAATAAAAGTCTCTCTTTACATAATATATTTGTGTGTGCTGTATATAATTATTTTGTATAAATAAATACCTATGCATGCATGTATATATTTAAGAATTATTTGCGCTTAAATTCTGTATATATATAAAAATACATAATCTATATTATATAAATATAAATATTTTATATATGAATAACACATTTTCTTAAATATATACATGCATGTGTGTGTATTTATATATACAAAATAATTATATACAGCACACACAAATATATTATGTAAACACAGACTTTTATTTTGGATGCGATTAATCGCAATTAATTTTTGCACAGCCCTAATATATATATATAGAAAGAAACAATATGTATTGTGAAAAGTGCTATACAAATAAATGTGATTTTTTTTAAAGTCTGCATCTATTTGATCAATAATACAGTAAAAAATGTGAAATATTAAAATTTAAAAACAGTTTTTTACAAGGATCATGTGACACTGAAGACTGGAGTAATGATGCTGAAAATTCAGCTTTGATCACAGGAATAAATTACACTTTCATATATGTTCACACAGAAAACACTTATTTTAAATTCTAATAATATTTCACAATATTACTCTTTTTACTGTATTTCTTATTAAATAAATGCAGCTTTGGTGAGCACTTTAAATGACTTCTTACCAACCCCAAAACATTTAGTTAATCAAAAATACAGTAATATTTTCAGAAAAAAAAATCTAGCATAAAAATCATAAATAATAATTCAGTACACCAAATAATATCATGATCTGTAATTCTACAGATATACTTTGCGCATGTCGGTAATTTAGGTTAAAGGTGCGTTAGTAACATTTCAATGTTTTGATTGTATGTAGGTCATTTCTTAACTCATTCTCACATATAGACATGTGTGTGGTGTGTCGTCCAGTAGGTGGCACTGACCCCAAACTCCTCATGGACTGTCAATAACCATTACATCACTTCCTTTCAGAACATCAAAGCATTGCCAGACAAGCAAGTCAGACAGACAGGCGCACAATCACATAGTCAAAATGAGTTTAAAGTTGGTTTCTGTCAGAAATCGAAGGATAGTGATGCTGAAATGTGAATAAAACAGTGTCCCTGGGTCGTTCAGGTCAGATCTTATAAGAAGAATCGTTTGAAATGTTCATTTCTTGCTAACGGATTAAATAATAAAGTGATCAGTGACTCAAATCACTCTGTTTTTCAGTGAGCTGCATCTTGCAACAACGTGGCCGAACCTGACGGAGGGAATCGTTGTGGACAATGATGTTTATTCGTAAGTGTTTGCCAAGTTTCCACCAAACACACACTGTTTTTATGCACCAAAACTGACATTTTGTGCACGGTGGATGATGAAAATAGAACAGCGATGTAATCGTTTTTTATAACGCTCAGTAATTCATGAATATGCATGATGCACGAAAACAACTCAAGCTGATGTCAGTGCCAGATCCATGTTTCGTCACCTCGTAAAGAACCTGTTACCCATAATAATTTTTCACAGCTCAGGAGAAGAAGAGGGGGAGCGTGCATCGCCTTAAAAACACCCAAGCCAAAATTGATTCACGCCGCATTATTTTACGCCTTTTAGTTTAGTGATGAAGTGCTGCTCGGTGAGCCGTAGCATCACATTAACACTTTGTGCTGTTTTCTCAAGTCTCATTCGGTGTGTGGGCATGTGCTGATGAACTCTTACTTCTGGAGTACAGAGAGAGTTTTTTCATATGATTTTGGACAAACATTCAGAAGTGCGCTCGAGCACTCTTATTTCACACGCTCGTGAAACGCCGCAATCGCATGGCTTTTCAACAGATTTTGAAGCATTAGTAGTCATCGTTCATTTAGTTATTGGTTACGATGGCATCAGCACTCAACGCTTCTCGATGGGAAGAGAAAATTACGTTCTTCCTCAGTATTTTTGTCTCGTTTTCAATCCAGTACAAATATCTAAACATTTTTTAAATCAAGATTAAGGATGCACCGATATTAAAAACTTTGGCCGATAACCGATAATTCAAGCCGATAACCGATATATTGGCAGATAAATTGAAATCCAAGTTTTTATAACATTTTTGAGAGCCTGATTATAAAAATTAAGTCCCAACAAGAATTTGTTATTGTTTTTAGCATAAACTCACTTAATTTTACACATTTTTCAGAAAACGACTTAATATCTTCAGTCATTTTGCCTGTCAAGTGAATATATCTTGATTTAATTTAAGTTTAAGATTGTCTTTTTTCCAGTACAAAGATCTAAACATTCTTAAACCAAGTTTAAGGATGCACCGATATTAAAATCTTTGGCCGATAACCGATAATTCAAGCCGATAACCGATATATTGGCCGATAAATCGAAATCCAAGTTTTTTCCCTCAGCATTTTTGTCTTGTTTTCCAATAAAAATATTTAAACATAAGTGACTTTATGCTTAAAACAAGAACAAATATGCCAATGGAGTCAATTAAATTAAGTTTATTATATTTTTCTGACCCCATCGGTAGATATTTGTTCTTGTTTTTAGCAAAAACTGACTTAATTTTACACATTTTTCGGAAAACAAGACTTAATATCTTCAGTCATTTTGCCTGTCAAGTGAATGTATCTTTATTTAAGTTTAAGATTGTCTTGTTTCCAGTACAAATATCTAAACATTCTTAAATCAAGATTAAGGATGCACCGATATTAAAATCTTTGGCTGATAACCGATAATTCAAGCCGATAACCGATATATTGGCCGATAAATCGAAATCCAAGTTTTTTCCCCTCAGCATTTTTGTCTTGTTTTCCAATAAAAATATTTAAATATAAGTGACTTTATGCTTAAAACAAGAACAAATATGCCAATGGAGTCAATTAAATTAAGTTTATTAAATTTTTCTGACCCCATCGGTAGATATTTGTTCTTGTTTTTAGCAAAAACTCACTTAATTTTACACATTTTCCAGAAAACAATACTTAATATCTTCAGTCATTTTGCCTGTCAAGTGAATGTATCTTTATTTAAGTTTAAGATTGTCTTGTTTCCAGTACAAATATCTAAACATTCTTAAATCAAGATTAAGGATGCACCGATATTAAAAACTTTGGCCGATAACCGATAATTCAAGCCGATAACCGATATATTGGCCGATAAATCGAAATCCAAGTTTTTTCCCCTCAGCATTTTTGTCTTGTTTTCCAATAAAAATATTTAAACATAAGTGACTTTATGCTTAAAACAAGAACAAATATGCCAATGGAGTCAATTAAATTAAGTTTATTAAATTTTTCTGACCCCATCGGTAGATATTTGTTCTTGTTTTTAGCAAAAACTCACTTAATTTTACACATTTTCCAGAAAACAATACTTAATATCTTCAGTCATTTTGCCTGTCAAGTGAATGTATCTTGATTTAAGTTTAAGATTGTCTTGTTTCCAGTACAAATATCTAAACATTCTTAAATCAAGATTAAGCATGCATCGATATTAAAAACTTTGGCCGATAACCGATAATTCAAGCCGATAACTGATAAATTGGCCGATAAATCGAAATCCCAAGTATTGTTTATATTTTGGTGCTGTGCAAAATTATCTGTTTAATATGGTGTGTTTTAAATTAATGTGTAATATTCTAGTGGTTATTTATTTCATTGTTCATTGGAATATTAGATTTTATGAATATGTTTTATTATAACATATCCATATACGGAGATGTTTTTATTTTTTATTTTTATTTATTTTTATTGTTGTTTATTATATATGTGGGCAACTGTGACAAAGAATTTCCCCTTGGGGATTAATGAAGTATTACTTACTTACTTACGTGTGTGTTTCTGCTCTCACAGCGATCTGGATCCACTTCAAGCGCCTCACTGGTCTGTTCGAGTGCGGAAAGCAGACAACCCGCAGTGTTTGCTGGGTAAGCGCGGCCGCTAACACACAAACACGCAGAGCGAGAGGATAGTTGAGCCTGACGTTTGTCTTGATCCTCAGGTGAATTTCTCATGGAGTTCTTCAAACTTTGCTGTCGGAAGGAAACCACCGAGGAGATTCTGGGGAGAAACTCGGTTGAAGAAGAAGGGAAAGGTCATTTCCTTTTAGATATTAATTAACCACATATGTCTGCACGAGCTGAAAATCTCATTAAGCATCTACTTGAGACACATTTCACTGGTTTTAGGGTTTTGGTTTTTATCTAAATGGTAAAGACAATGATTGTTTAAGATTTTTACAGCGAGCGTTAAATTGAATCAGTTTCTAACAGCGGCTGCTCAACTCTCATCACTTTATATATGATGTGTTTATTGTGCATCGTTTGATTGACTGACTCCTCCCACCTCTGTGATGTTTCCATAGAGAACAGTGACATCACTCAAGCCTTGTCCAAACTGACGGAGCCGGCCGCTGTTCCCATCCACAAGCTGTCCGTCTCCAACATGGTCCACAGCGCACGCAAGCGCATACGGCGGCACAAGCGCGTCGAGGAGTCGCCTCTTAACAACGACGTGCTGAACTCCATCCTGCTGGTGAGGAGCTGTTAAAACAGAGAGCATGCTGGGTATTTACATGTGTCTGATTAGTGTGAGGAAGTGGATGATGATGGTGATGTATTGATCAGAAGCCGACTAGTGCTGGGCAAAATTAAAAGTTTGTGTTTACATAATGTGTTTATAATTTTTTTGTACATATAAATAGACACCCATGCATGGATATACAGGTGAAAAAAGATTTATTTCAATAATTCATCTTAAAAGGTGAAACTAATATATTATATACAGACTCATTACATACAAAGTGAGATATTTTAAACCTTTATTTGTTATAATTTTGAAGATTATGGCTTACAGCTTATGAAAACCCCAAATTCAAAATTAGAATATTGTGAAAAATTTTCATATATGCAAATCATAATAATCAAAATTATAGCAAATAAAGGCTTGAAATATCTCACTTTGCATGTAATGAGTCTATATAATATATTTGTTTCACCTTTTAAGTTTAATTTTAAGACATATTTGCATGTATGTATGTGTATATATATATATATATATATATATATGCATAATTTATTTTGTATATAAATGACACATTTTCCTAAATATATACATACACGTGTGTGTTTTTATATATATATATATATATATATATACACACACATGCTTGTATATATTTCAGAAATATTTTCATGAATATACTGTATATAGATTTATATATCATTTATATTATATATAAATATAAATATTTTATATATAAATAATATTTTTTTTAAATATACATGCATGTGTGTGTATTTTCATATACACAAAATAATTATACGCAGTGAGTGCACCCACATATATTATGAAAACAAAAACTTTTATTTTGGATGCGATTAATCGTTTGACAGCCCTAGTTTATAAATAATTATACACAGTACACACACATATATTATGTAAACACTAACTGTGATTAATCGCTTCCCAGCACTAGTAATAATATTGTATATAATATAATAAAATGAATATATAATATAATCTATAATTCTTTACTGTGGGCTTCAGCTTGTGTAAGTTGGCACCGCTGTATTGCAGGTGGCACCTGTAAGCGCTGATGTTGCACATTCCTGCTTAATTAGCCTAAACGAGACTGATGTTTAATTCAGAAGTCACGTTGGCTGTTTGATTCGCATTAAAACATGCCAGATGATTTGTGCAGGTTATTTGCATATTTAGCAATTTGGCGTGTCTGCACCGGACCAAACTAAATTACTCTCATCGCAATCATTGCAAATATCATGAATTGATTGATATGATTAGTTATGTGTAAATCACTTCTGACTGTATCGGCTTATCTGCGGCCATATGTGTATACTATATATATATATATATTTATATATAGTCCTGGACAGAATTATTGGCACCCTTGGTAAATATGAAAGAAAAATCGGCATTGTTAATCCTGACAATGCTGATTTTTGACCTTTCATTAAAACATTATATGTATACATTTTATTACAAATATGTTTTCAAAAAATAAACGTATAACATTCTGTAGCCTTGTTTGAAGTTATTGAATAGAATTAGACTTCTAGAATGTTATTTCAAGTGCAAAAAATAATATTTTTAATTTAGTAGTTTTTCCTATCATAGCCTACAGATGTCTTCGGAAACTCCTTTTCCTCGATTTATTAAAGCCTATATATAAACAGCCATCTATGGCCCTGTCCCAATACTCACTTGAGCCCTAAGGCCTTCCTCGAAGTGGACACTTGTTGAAAGTGCACTTAGCGGAGAAAGAGCGCAAGGGCCCGAAGCTGTGAAGAGCAGAATTGGGACAGTTTTGCACACCTCAAAAAGCTACTTTTTTTTAACTCTTAGCCAGCAAGGTATTAAAACAGTTTTTGGCTAAGATAAAATGTGATTGAGGTTTACCTGAGTTTATACTGCCTTACCATATTCACAGAGATTCGAAATGCAATGTTAATTGTTGTTATGGAAATTGATATATGAAATTCCCATACATGAAAAAAAAAATGAAAAAAAAAACATGACGTGTTGGTGATATATTTTGTATAGGCTATAGATTAAAATAGTCTAACATATAGGCTGTATAAAATAAAATGACACAACCTTGTCTCTTTTTATTTTATTGACCAAGAATAGCCATTATTAAAGTATAAGCTTAAAAAGTATAAGTAGTATAAGTATAAGAAGCTATACAAGTCAACTAATAAGGCAAGTTAAAAGATTCAGTCAAACATACGTTTCAACGTTACAGTTAAATAGCCTAAATATATAGTTATGAAACTTCACTTTTCCCCTCAGCCAAAACGATTTTCCAGGGAACAAATCATAGAATAATGAGACCAAAGATCGCCCGTCTGATGTACACAAGCCGATTTATAGCTCATGTTTAACCACTAGACACAGAGCCCGCGGGAACGCAAGAATGACTAGCCGGGGCAAGGCTGTTGCAGGCGGGGTACATGAGCGCTGAGCACCCGCCGCCCTGTGACTACCTGGAACTCCGAACGTCAGATCAATTTTTTAAAATAGGCGCTATTTTTATAAATAAACCACAGATTTGAGCTTTAAACAACTATATTCTCGACTGAAAAACTCTTAAAACTACATTTCGTGACCCAATAACACAAATATTTTTGAAAAATTCTTCACCACACCGGCATCCTTTATCTTCGGAGTTTCTGCTCCCGAACAGCACCATAGCAACCGTTCTCCCCTACAAGGATTCTGGGTAATATCCTATAGCAAAGTGAGGTCTGATGCGCACTTACGAAAAGGGTGCATTAAGTGCCCTTTTGATCACCCCTGGAGAACACTATTAGAGGATTGGGACACCCTACGGTCTTGCACCCCTTAGCGAGAACGCGCATTGAGGGGCACAAGGGCGCAAGTGCGGATATTGGGACAGGGCCTGTATATCTATGCTGAATATCTCTATGATTCGTTAAATCTTAGTTTAGTTGATTGGGACTTCTTAATTATTGCCCTGATGGTAGAAATCAGGATTGCTCTACCTATTTTCTTACAGACACTTTCTATTTTGTATAAGAACTATATTCTTTACTCATTGTAATGGGTGATTAAGGGAATTTGGCCTTTGTGTTTCCTCATAATTATACTCTTGTGGAAGTTTCATTTCAATGTTCCTAATCATCCTGGTGTAATACAAATTGTAAATATGAAGGGAAATAAATACTTCAGAAATATAAGACATTTCTTATTATTATAAATTTTGAAACCAGTTTTGCTGAGACGTCTAAAATGTGTGTTTTTTTTGTGTGTGTTTGTCCATCAGTATCTTTTCCCAGATGCAGCTTTGGATAAAACAGACAGTAGTGATGTTAAATCCACACAGCCCAGCCCAGGGGGAAAGACTGAGCCGGACAAAGACTCGGAAGATTACGTGAGTCTGAACACAGAATCGTTGAGATGAGATGATTCAGATGTAGAGATTTTTTTTTGTTTCAAATAGAGATCACGATTCTGAACAGACGTCTAAACACAATAACGGCATTTATTCGAGATTCTGACAAAATGTTCATATTTAAATAAAAAAATAATTAATTTGATTTAATCCTTATTTTTTTAGTGGTTTGAATGAATGAATGTCTCACTCATAAATAGTTTCATTACTGGATGACTCAGTGTTTTTGAATGAATGATTCAATGACTCGTTTTTAACAGTCACTTGTCGCCACCTACTGGTGTAACGATGTAATTGACACAATCTTTATTTAAAGTTACTTTCAAAATACTCAATTTTGATCGCTAACTATAAACTTTTATCCCAGTACTTCTGTGATAATATGAATTATTGTAATACAGAAATGATAATACTGTGTGTGTGTTTGAAAAGATTCATATCTATACATGACAACGGCTCTCTCTGGCTCCGAACGCAGATTCGTTCGCTGTGATTGTGCTTGTCAAAGATTTAAAGGAGTAGTTCACTTTTAAAAAACTTTTTGCTGATTATTTACTCACCCCCATGTCATCCAAGATGTCCATGTCTTTCTTTCTTCAGTTGAAAAGAAATTAAGGTTTTTGATGAAAATATTTCAGGATTTTTCTCCATATAATGGACTTCAATGGGGACCAAATGGTTCAAGGTCCAAATAAGAGTTTCAGTGCAGCTTCAAAGGGCTTTAAACGACACCAGACGATGAATAAGGACCCTTTGAGTTATGACTAAAAAAAAGATTCGTTCATTTTGATGAACGAGTTCGAACAGGAGAGTCACGAACGCTTATCACAGAACATGAATCACAGAATTTTTTTTTTTTTAAATGAGTGATCGTTTCGCTTGATAAGACTCTTATTCATCGTTTGGAATCATTTAAAGCCCTTTGAAGCTGCATTGAAACTCTCATTTGGACCTTGAACCGTTTGGTCCCCATTGAAGTCCATTATATGGAGAAAATCCTGGAATGTTTTCATCAAAAACCTTAGTTTCTTTTCCACTGAAGAAAGAAAGACATGGACATCTTGGATGACATGGGGGTGAGTAAATTATCTTTTTTTTTTTTAAAGTGAACTACTCCTTTAATAGGCAGAGTCGAATCATTGTCATTTAGAAATAAGATCACGTGTGTATTTGCATCGAGATTACGATCTTTTAACGCTCTGAAGCGTTGACTGTGTTTCCCTGTGAACAGCATCTCTATAATCAGCTGAAATCGGCTCCGTGTGACAGTCTGACGTACCGTCTAGCCTTGTGCATGTGTGTGGTGAACTTCCATCACGGAGGCGTGCGTGCCGTCGCTCACCTGTGGCAGGAGTTCGTGTTGGAGATGCGCTACCGCTGGGAAAACAACTGTCTGATCTATGGGTAAGAGAACCATAACTATATGTCCTGTTAGAAGCAATTGACGTATTTTTTTCCAAGTTTGCTCTGCCTGGTAAACACTTTTTTTCACCTTTCAATTTTGATATTTTTAGGTCAAACCATTCTTGTCTATCAGTCATACACTGGAGGTCTATGGTCACCACCTCAAAAAGCATGCACAGAGAAGTCCAAATTAAACATGATTTAATCACTCGTAAATATAAGTACACATTGATGGCCTAAGACACGAAACGAGCGGTTTGTGTGAGAAAACGAACAGTATTTATTGTAATCACAGCCACGTCCAAGTGATCTGAGGCCGCGGGCACTTTTGTGGCTAAAACAAAGATATAAATACTGTTTCGTGTCTTAGGCCATCAATGTGTACTTACATTTACGAGTCATTAAATCATGTTTAATTTAGACTTCTCTGTGCATGCTCTTTGAGGTGGTGACCATAGACCTCCATTATATGAACGGTTTGACCTAAAAATAACAAAATTGAAACTACTAAACGGAAACAAGGACACCTACATCTTGGAATGGATACCCTTGAAACATACCAAAAATTAATTTCAAATTGAACAATCCCTTTAAAGGCTGTTACTTTATTGCAGTTATGCATCAACCAACTGTGCCTGTGTGGATGATAACACAAAAGACCATTTTGCAAAAATAAACAAACAAATAAATCTCACAAGAGAGCATGCTGGGACCCCCAAATGTTCAAACCAAAACTACACACTTGGATCCGTTTAACCCCTTGATATTTGTACTTGAAAACAAGACAGAAATTCTGAGTAAGATAATTTTTTGCAGTGGAAATAGTGGAAATAGTTTAGCACCAGAGTCCTTGTGCGTTCAGACACGCACAAGGACTCTGGTTCGAGTCTGTTTTCTTGTCTGCACGCGACATCTAAATGAATGCAAAAAGCCCAGAAATGATCTCAGTGGAGGTGATGAATTGTGGCAGTGCTGTAATGTTGTTGTACTCCGTGCCTGCTGGGAAAGAGCTGCAGGCGTCCGGATCATTGATAACATTGGCGGAGAAACAATAACGCAGTGTGTCGCGGTTCCTCCGCTGTCCCTGCGGTCCTTCATCTCCTCATGTCATTGTGTGCAAATGAGCGAAGCCTTTGAATACGTGCGGCTCTGTTCACCTCTGGGCTGTTGTGCTGTGGCCTGATGGGAGACTGTATTGATCTGTGTTGTGTTTCAGACTGGCGAGTGGCCCTCCTGATCTCAGGTGTTGTCTTCTTCATCAGAAACTGCAGGTGAATCCTCATGTGTTCACACTTGAAGTTAAAATTATACAATTTTAGTAGGGCTGGGTAATAAATATCGATTTCTCGATATTAATCGATTCTCATTTTTATGAACCGATATCTATTCCTAAATCTCAAGAATCGATTAGTCATCCTGTTTCATTTGAATGAATGGAGCATTGTATCGCGGCTGCGCGCATCCAAAAAAAAAATCGCAATAATCTTTGTCTTTGGTTACTATTGATATTAAACAAAGTCTCAATTTTCAAATTACGTCCGTTTTCTTTAGAAATTCAAAAACATAAATAGCGTTTTGGCGCTGTGGCGTGAGATCGCTCTGGCGGAGCTCAGGAGAAGCAGCCGCGCTGATCTCACTTCCGGGTTAATAATACCAGTTACAGCGCGAAATAAACATGAATGAGCATCTGAAAGTGTGTTAAAAGATAGAGTACAACTTATCGAAATCTGTATCATGTCACATTGATTCGCGCAATCAGCGTTTCAACCGTGGAAAGACGTCAATTAAACAGCTTGTAATCAATGTCATCGTCATATTTACCTCAGAAAACCCACATCAACTCGTTAGTCAGCTAGAAAAAATAACTCTAGAGAGGAGCATTTTGCTAAATATATACAAAATATAACAATATACAATATATAAAGTGTAATTTAAGTGTTTGTATAGCTACAAAACAGTTAATTATTACCTTCATATTAGGCTAATGAAGCCTATAGGCTACAACTAGACTCCCATAGTTTACAGCATTAGTTAAGAGATTTGATTTCCTTGAGAAAATTTGCTATTTATTGTAACTGACATCCAAAATAATCAATATCGAATCGAAATCGAATCGAATTGCAAGCTTGTGAATCCAATCGAATTGTGAAATTTGTGTCAATACCCAGCTCTAAATTTTAGTAATTTTTAGCATTCACAGCGTCATTTTTAACACCGAAACTAAAGATACAAAACAACAAAAATGACTTTTATGAAGTATATTTTGTGACGGACCTTAAAGCAACACTAATTAAGATTTTTTACCTTAAAGTAATGTTTCCAAAATGGTTATTAAGTTGTAACAGGGTGAAAGGCACTTATGGATTCGCTTTGCGGTCCTATATCTGCCAAAACCATCGAGTCGCGTTTCTGTAGTTCTAACGAGACATAAGAAAACTACAAATTTGACTTTCTTTACGTCAAGCGTTACAATAGTCATTATTTTGTTTTTCTTCGCTTCATCAAATATTGTTTCCACAGAAATCTGAAAACAAAAAACAGTTTTCAACGTTAATAATAATCAGAAATGTTTCTTAAAGCATCATATCACACATAAGAATGATTTCTGAAGGATTGTGTGACACTGACGACTCGAAAAAAATAAAAATAAGCGATAGTGAATTTTCTCGTGTGTTTAATTTTGATCAGATGCTGAACTGCTGCATCGAGCGAAAGAGAGCAAGGGATGATGGGAGGAAGAACGCCGCATCAGACGCAAGCCGAGACAAAAGCCGCTTGGCGCCGGAGAGCGCCGGACCTGCTGAGGTTTCTCCCGGGAAGTCGTGGGACTCGTGGAGCGACAGTGAAGAGGAGTTCTTCGAGTGTCTGAGCGACACGGATGAGATGAAGGAGGCGGACACGGAGAACGAGAAAAAAACAGCCAATAAGAGCAAAGCAGAAGGTCGACTGCAGCCACACGGCAAAATCACACTCCTGAACTCACAGGAGCTGCTCTACATCCCAGTCACACAGGTATAACACACGGGTTAAAGGTCACCCGTAAATTAAAATTACCCCATGATTTACTCAGCCAATGTAAATGTAAATGTGTAAATGACTCAGCCAAACACAATCAGATTTATATTAAAGCTACAATACCTAAGATTTTATGCCACTAGAGGGCGCTAAATTCAAAACAACAACAACGGCGTTGCTTGATGACGCCGTGGAGGAACACGGAATGATGGGAACTGTTGTTTTCAACTCCACTGTGGATAAATCAGTCAGACGGGAATCGAAAATTTGTTGTTCGATTTCTATAACTGTTGCGTTTAATGACATGCTTGTTTTTCATTAAACTGAAATAACCGCAAGAAAAGTAAGGTTTAAACGTAAATTAGTTATCACAGATGTTCTAACGGTTGAAACACTTTTCAGATAAACGACGTTTTCTTAAGATACAGCCAACAGTATTCGCGGTGAATATGACCTTACGATTTTTCACATCATATGCATAGACGACAAGACATTCGAACAATAATACTAATTGTTTTGCATGGTTTACTGACATGAAATTTGAATACACAACACCATGTTACTCACCTGTCAAGTAAAACACATGCAAGATCGGCGTCTCTTTCTAGTTCGAGTTTTTCACACAAAGTTCTCTGCATTTAGGAAATGCCGCACCGATGTTGAGCTGGTTTTATTTCTCTTGGGTCGTTTGGTTGACCCGTTCGTTGACGTTTGCGTTTATGAGACAGAACCAGGTGCAATCGCTAAAGAATAATTGTGCTCCATTCCATAACAAATGCGCGAAACAAGCTGACGTTTGTTGCTTGATAGACGCTAATGCACAACTACAACTACCGCATTTGTCCAGGACTACACGCAGTACGAGCGGAAACCGAGGTGACGCGGATATGACGCCTCACCCCTGCTCACACGCCCCGTTTCCTTGGTTAAAATCTCAATTTTCTCGCGATTTAAACATTCTTTGAAACATTTGGAATATTGTAAGTTATCATCTTAACTAAATATATAACACTGGCCTTGTGATTTTGGGATATTTTCATGCAAAAATCTTAGGTATTCCACCTTTAAAACATATCTTTGGCTCTTCTCAGCTTTATAATGGGAGTACCTGAAGTTTTGAAGCCCAAAAAAGTGCATCCATCCATCATAAAAGTAATCCATTCGACTCCAGGGGGGGTTAAAGGAGTAGCTACTTTTAAAAAAAACTTTTGCTGATAGTTTACTCACCCCCATGTCATCCAAGATATCCACGTCTTTCTTTCTTCAGTCGAAAAGAAATTAAGGTTTTTGATGAAAACAATCCAGGATTTTTCTCCATGTAATGGACTTCAATGGGGACCAAACGGTTCAAGGTCCAAAAGACCGTTTCAATCCTCTTCTTTCTCTTCTCTGTTTCAGCATCTCTCCATATCTAATCTATTCCCCAGTTTGGTCATAACTGTTGTGTGTGTGTGACGCAGGAGCCGGCGCCCATGACTGAAGACCTGCTGGAGGAGCAGTCGGAGGTACTGGCCAAACTGGGCACGTCGGCTGAAGGTGCGCATCTCCGTGCCCGTATGCAGAGCGCCTGCTTGCTCTCAGACATGGAGTCCTTCAAGGTGAGGCCGCTGCTCACTGCTGTTCATGTGAAAGGGTTTTATTTGTTTGAGACTAGGCCTGCACAATTAATCGCATCGAAACGGCACGCGATTATTTTATGTGCAGTTTGTCAGTAGTAAATTCGGTAGTAAATTAATTTAATTTAATTCTCTGTAATTTAAACTTGAAAGTTAGTAAAGACATCGGCACACAGAAGAAAATTAATACTTGAATAGAGTTGAATTTATTTATTTTGTATTATTCTCGTCGCTTGTTAAACTTAAGGTTTAGCCACTGTAGTCACTCGGACTATTTTAACAATGTCTTTAACCCTCCTATTATCTTTGGGGTCAATTTGACCCCATTCAATGTTTAACGTAAATACAAAATTCTTTTTTTTTTGCTTCAGATTTAATGACTTTTCCTAATTTAATGGGGACAACTTGGTAAACATAAACATATTTTTTCAATGTCCTGTACACATGTTGTAGCATCGGTGTTCCTTGGGGTCAATTTGACCCCTGGCCCTTTTAGTTTTATAATAAAACAAAAGAAATAATAAAATTTCACACACTTTTTTTTTTTGGTTGTTTTATTGAGGTCATTATGAAGGCCTGTTCACACTGGGACGAATTTCGAGCGTGATATTCGCTGACGTTTAACGCCTCGTGACTAAACAAAGGGCGCCAATGTGTGTGCGCACACTGACGCGGAAAAAATAACAAAGTTTAAGTTTTATAAGCTCAAATGCTCGCCTTGCTCTGTTCTGTGATGAGCGTTCGTGACTCTCCTGTTCAAACTCATTCATCAAAATGCACGAATCTTTTTCCGAGTCAATTTGTTCGTTTCGTTCGTTGAATGAACCAAATGACTCGGAAAAAGATTCGTTCATTTTGATGGACGAGTTTGAACAGGAGAGTCACGAGCGCTCATCACAGAACAGAGCAAGGCGAGCATTTGAGCTTATAAAACTTAAACTTTGTTATTTATTTATTAAATGAGCGATCGTTTCGCTTGATAAGAGACTTATTCATCGTCTGGTGTCGTTTAAAGCCCTTTGAAGCTGCACTAAAACTCTCATTTGGACCTTGAACCGTTTGGTCCCCATTGAAGTCCATTATATGGAGAAAATCCTGGAATGTTTTCATCAAAAACCTTAATTTCTTTTCGACTGAAGAAAGAATGACATGGACATCTTGGATGACATGGGGGAGAGTAAATTATCAGCAAAAGTTTTTTTTTAAAAAGTGAACTACTCCTTTAAGTAGTCAACAAAGACATAAATGGCCAGAGACAGACCTTTGTAAAAAGAAAGAATCATATTGTGGAGGTTTAAGTTACTGGGGTCAAATTGAACCCCGGTAGGTAAAATTTTTTTTTTATCAGATTTGAGGGTAACAGGAGGATTAATAACTTTCTGAACCGGCAAGTTTCAATCCCTTAGAAGCCTATGGAGGAGTGATCCAGCTCTCAGATTTAATCAGAAATATCTTAATTTGTGTTCTCAAGATGAACGAAAGTCTTAAGGTGTTGAACAACATGAGGGCGAGACAGAGTTTTCATTTTTTGGGGTGAACTGTCCCTTTAATTCTTTCAGAAAACATGCCATTTTGTCATTCAAGTAAATCTATGTTGATTTAAAGAAGTAGTTCACTTTAAAAAAAACTTTACTCACCCCCATGTCATCCAAGATGTCAACTTCTTTCTTTCTTCAGTGGAAAAGAAATTCAGGTTTTTGATGAAAACATTCCAGGATTTTCTCCATATAATGGACTTCAATGGGGACCAAACGGTTCAAGGTCCAAAAGACAGTTTCAGTGCAAGTCAGGGCTTTAAACGATTCCAGACGATGAATAAGGCTCTTATCAAGCGAAACGATCGCTCATTTAATAAATAAATAACAAAGTTTAAGTTTTATAAGCACAAATGCTCGCCTTGCTCTGTTCTGTGATGCACGTTCGTGCACGTCAAAATGAATAAATCTTGTTTCGTGTCATTTGGTTCATTCAACGAACGAGTTGACTCAGGAAAAGATTCGTTCGTTTTGATGTGAAGGGAACTACTCCTTTAAGAATGTGAAGATATTTGTGCTGGAAAACAAGACAAAAATACTAAGGAAGGACATCATTGTTTGCAGTGTGAGCGGCTTGTTTAGGGGCGTTTGAGCCGAATGACAGATATCACACGGCAATGCAGAATGAGTCAACAACCACATTTTTATAGCCGCTCAGCCCAGACAATGGCTCCCGTCTTCCTCTGTGCACAATTCACTGAATCTTTTATAGGTTTCACCTTTTAAAAACGCTCCTTGGGAGAAGCATCATTCATTTTCATAAGCGCCACCCTTCCATCCCTCTCTGTCGGATAACGGCAAATTATCCCGCGGCGTTATGCCGTGGACAAACCCGAGAGATTAAGGAACAAGGGAATTGTGTGGGAATGAAGCGTTCTGTAAGCACAGCGAGCGTAGCCTCATTTCCAACTTCTGCCAGTGCGCTATAAAGCAAAAATGCTCGTTTTTGATCACCGGGGGGGCGAGACCAATGTGGAAAGGTGACATTTTGTGTCTATTTTGCCTGTTCAACTGCCCTACAAAATGCTCTAATTTCCCGAGCAGACACACCAGCTCTTCTCATTGCAGTGGCGAACTGCTGTGAGCGCAGCGATCGCAGTAAATGGCCCCTTTAGCTGAAGATGGCCTCTAAATTTAGCAGCACTGCTGTCTGTAATTGTGCTTAGCCAAGCATAATTTGGCATTTTGGCTTTAATTACCATCTCCCTCCGGGTGGAGAGCAGAGAGACCCGAATATGATGAATGGGGCGTCTTAAAACTGTGACGGCGCGCTCATTGCGCTCCACATTCAGCCGTCAGATGCTGAGCTAGTAGCGAGTGACTGTAAGGATGAACGTCAGTACCTCATCACAAAGTAGATCTGCACCTTTTTTTTCTTTTGCAAATGTGAAGAACTCTCTAGCACAATGCTAAAATCGAGTTTGTGTTCGTTAAGCCGTTGTTTTAGTGCATAATCATGTTCTGAATGAGTGCTGAACACAAAAGAAGATATTTTGAAGAATGTCAAACCAAACAGTTGATGGACCCCATTGACTTCCATAGTACTTTTTTCGGTAACACTTTACTTGAAGAGGTGTGCATGACGCCTTTATAATCATGGCGTGACATATTTCTTGAATATGAAGTAGGGTTTATGAAGTAGCATGTTTGTGACAACTGTCGTTAAGTGTCTTTCGCTCAATAATGACATTTTGAATGCAAATATGACATTGTTTGAGATGTCTTTGTTATGACAACTTGACATTAAATGAAGTTAAACTGTTAAACTGGCTGTCATGAGACATTATAACTGTCATGAATATTTTTCGTGAGCTCAACTACAGTGGTACACGTTGAATTTATGATTAAAAAAGAAGTTATAATGGCTTCATGACAGCCAATGTCAAAACCAACCACCTGACGGTTTAATGTAATGTTAACCAAGTTTGTTAAAGGAGTAGTTCAACTTTTGCTGATAATTTCCTCACCCCAATGTCATCCAAGATGTTCATGTCTTTCTTTTCCTCAATCGAAAAGAAATTAAGGTTTTTGATGAAAACATTCCAGGATTTTTCTCCATATAATGGACTTCAATGGGGACCAAACGGTTCAAGGTCCAAATGAGAGTTTCAGTGCAGCTTCAAATGTCTTTAAACGACACCAGACCATGAATAAGGGTCTTATCATGCGAAACGATCGCTCATTTCAAAACTTATTCCAAAAATGTAACTTTTCTAAGGACAAATGCTAGCCTTGCTCTATTCTGTGATGCGCGTTTGTAACGTCATGTAATACGTAATGATGTTCAAAAGGTCACGGGCGACGTAGCCGGAAGTACAGAATCAGTGTTTACAAGTTGAACGCATAGGTTGAACGTGCAAACTAACTCAAACGCCGTTTACAAAAAAAGGAATTAAAAGGTAAAACAACGATGTCGGACGATTTTGATTCTGTACTTCCGGCTACGTCGCCCGTGACCTTTTGAACGTAATTACGTATTACGTGACGTTACAAACGCGCCTCACAGAATAGAGCAAGGCTAGCATTTGTCCTTAGAAAAGTTACATTTTTGGAATAAGTTTTGAAATAACCGATCTTTTTGCATGATAAGACCCTTATTCATCGTCTGGTGTCGTTTAAAGACATTTGAAGCTGCATCTGAAACTGTTATTAACTCTCTTTTGGACCTTGGACCGTCTGGTCCCCATTGAAGTCCATTATATGGAGAAAAATCCTGGAATGTTTTCATCAAAAACCTTAATTTCTTTTCGACTGAGGAAAGAAAGACATGGACATCTTGGATGACATGGGGGTGAGTAAATTATCAGCTAAAGTTTTTTCAAAAGTGAACTAATCCTTTAAGTTTGATCATTAATCTGCTATGTCATGTTTATGACAGGTCGTGTTGTCTTAGTAATGTCAAGTTGTCATGATAAAGACACTGACAGGTTATGATGTATTGGTTTATGTCAAAGACATCGCAAACAATGTCATATTTGCATTAAAAATGTCATAATTGAGTGAATGACACTTAATGAGTCATAAACATGCATAAAACTTCCTTCATATTCATAACATATGATTATGAAGGTGTCATGTCAGTCTTATGCACACCTCTTCAAGTGGTACTATGGAAGTCAATGGGGTCCATCAACTGTTTGGTTTCCGACATTCTTCAAAATATCTTCTTTTGTGTTCAGCAGAAGACAGAAATACAGGTTTGAAACAAATTGAGGGTGAGTAAATGATGACAGAATTAAAATATTTTGCGTGAATCATCCCTTTAATGATGTACGACGAGAGATATGAGAAATACACATTTTAATGTGCATTCTTGTTGCCAGATCTTGCGAATAAGAACAAGCTCATAATATGAAAAAAAAAGTCATATGCTGAAAATGAGACCAAAATATCACAACCCGCACCTGCTTACTTCTAATAACTCTGTAAACTCGATCACTTTATGTGCCAAGCTTAAAGTTTTGGGGCTTTTAGCATGAATATGTTAGCCTTACTGTTATCTATTAGCTAGTATGCTTCAAAACTATGACAAAATTCGCATTTAGAAGATATAAGCATTCAAAACTTGCATCCAATATGGATCAATGATTTTGATGACATCACTCTGCACCAGATTTTCTGTCCAATCAAATGCTCTCTAGAATCTGAAGCTCCGCCCCCTACATTATAAACAAACTGCGGCTGAAATCAGTCACTTGTTCACACATGACTGTTTTCTACATGGTGAATGGCACATAGTGCACTATATAGGGGATAGGGAACGATTCAGTGTAAATATGCTTTCCATTATGGCGAATGAAGTGTATTTATGTATTTGCATGTGTATGTATCATTATTGCCAGACGATGCAAACAATTTTGTTACCATGTCATACTAAACATTATTCAGACACCAGATATCATTTTTACTAAAGTTTAGGGTCCAATTCTCACTATTAAATAGTTGCTTATTCACACACACACTTAAGCTCTTGAAGCTCCGCCCCCTGTGCCGGGAGCAGCGGGTCATTTGCATTTAAAGGGACAGACACAAAAAAACTGTGTGTTTTTGCTCACCCTCAAAAATTGACAATTTTAACATGCTATACAGACCAGAAAACATATCAGATCCATTCAATCCTGCACAGTAAGCTGTATTTTAAAGCGATATGGAGGAGTTTAGGAGGAGAAACGGTTGGAGATCAGGAGGAAACTGCGGCTTTATCGCTCTGTCTTCCTGTTTCAGTGGAAATTACATCAACAAATTGAATTACCACTTCAATGGGCCTTTAAACAACAAGCTCAAAAACGCTTATAACAAGTGGACATGGCAGCACTGCAAGAGCTGTCCAAACATAAGCAAAACACGACGACTGCGCTTTAGTCGCTTTCTTCCACAGTTCCAGGTCTGACATGAAATGCATTTAGGATTAAACGTGTATCCGTCTGCCTCGCTGAGACATCATTACGTCTTGTTCGTGAGTGTCTCAGTAATTATCGAGTATGAAAGCATGCAGCGACTGACGGAAAGGTCATCATGAGAAAGTTTGTGGTAGTTTGCTCATTTACAATAGAAACGTGTGTTGAATGGCTGTAGCTGAAGGACTGAACTGATAAAAACAGACAATTACATGCTTTATTCAGAGCATTTCTGCCTATTTTTTGTCTGTACGACACGTGTATTCATGTATTTGCATGTGTATGTATCATTACTGCCAGACGATGTCATACTAGACATTATTCAGACACCAGATATCATTTTTGATATTTTTTTACTAGTGTGTGCAGGACACTAGAGTTCATTTATGTAAGCGAGACTAGCTAAATAAAGTAAACTGACATATTATACACATGGAAATGCTCATTTCAAACTTAAATGGTTGTAATTCAAGAATGCTTTGGAATATAGACGTAAGATTGGTCTCGTTTTAAAGTGAAATAAATTAAGAAAGTGAAACGGAAAAAAAGTTAGAGAAGTTTGAGTTTATGGAAATATACAATGTAGGGCTGTGCAAAAATTAATTGCCATTAATCGCATTCAAAATAAAAGTCTGTGTTTACATAATATATTTGTGTGTGCTGTATATAATTATTTTGTATATATAAATACCTATGCATGCATGTATATATTTACATAGTCTATATTATATAAATATAAATATTTTATATATGAATAACACATTTTCTTAAATATATACATGCATGTGTGTGTATTTATAAATACAAAATAATTATATACAATACACACAAATATATTATGTAAACACAGACTTTTATTTTGGATGCGATTAATCGCAATACATTTTTTCACAGCCCAAAAATTAACAAAAAAAAAATAATTATTCATATTTTATATAAAATATATATTTTCAAAACCTGGGCTACTCTAAAACTGCAGAAAAATCAAAGCCAAAAATCTGAACAAGTTGTGTTTAAAATTTTCGGTTGATATCTCAAAAAATGAGCTTTCAGTGAGATTTAGTTTGGGCGCAGTACCGAACGCTTCCACTAGGGCAAAACCAGACTCCATTACAGCCCATATAAGGGAGCCTCCATTTCCATATGTGTTTTGAGTGATCTGAACCATTATTTCCACAATTTTCATACAATTTATGAAGTGGAGATCCTATTCAGAAGTAGTATGGGAAGTTTGGCAGATTTTGATATGAATTTAACCTCTAAGAAACATACAAAGAACACACATGCGCGTTATAGCATATTGCCATAACACAAATGGTGAATCTATTATTTTTTTTCATAATATTTTAAAACATTTTCAGACCTTTTTTTTCTAAAATAATTGAATGGATGCTATCTTTTGAACTCTTCGCATGAAATCAAACTGAGGTTTCTAACTTTTTTTCTTGTTCATCGCTATTTCAAAATAAAGGTCTGAACACTCTTTATGAGTATGAAAATATTCTTGTTGCAAATTGATAAATTATGGCTCCTGTGTAAATAAGGTCTTAGAGATTGTAAGCTTTGAAATGATATATAGTTTGTCAATATTACTAATATTATTAATTGTTTTAAAAATATAATGGCAAGCGTCCCACCTGCTGATGATGTTCTGCTGAAGTGTGTTTTCTGTAATTGCTAATGCTCTTTTTACACACACACAGAACAACATGAAGCATTGCTTAGTCACTGGTTGATCTAAACTGGTGTTCAGATCAAACAGATATTCAACATAATTCATGTGGGATGGACAAAACCAGTCAAATATCCACTGAGTTCTTGTCATTTTATAACCATTTTCTAAACTAAAGCGAATAAAATGTGAGAAATGTTGAAGGTGTCTGAGTACATTTTGTTTTGACTGTATGTTTAAACGCCTCAGCAATTGGGTCCTAAATGTGACCCAAACATTTCTTTAATTCAGGTGTGATATTAAGTGTGTGTGTGTCCACAGGCAGCGAATCCAGGCTGTTCCCTGGAGGATTTTGTGCGCTGGTATTCCCCGAGAGATTACGTGGAGGAGGAGGTGAGCGATGAGACGGGCCAGACGGTCATTCGGGGCGACCTAAGCGCCCGCATGAAGATCCCGGGGAACATGTGGGTTGAGGCCTGGGAAACGGCCAAAGCCACTCCGGCACGCCGACAGAAGAGGCTGTTTGATGACACCAAAGAGGCTGAGAAGGTCAGATCCTCGAGTCAAGACACTATATAGCGATATATACTGTTTCAAAGCAGCTTTACAGTGACAATAGCAGATTGTTTTGATCTAGAATAAAGTTATTGTCCAGCTAAAGTTAGTTTTGATTGATTCACATCCGTTGCAAAGATCATTAGTTATTAAAGGGATAGTTCACTTTGAAATTAAGTGATGTTTTAGCTTACCTCAAGGGCATCCAAGATGTACACTACTGGTCAAAAGTTTTAGATCGGTTTTGTTTTTAAAAGAAGTCTCTTCTGCTCACCAAGGCTGCAATTATTTGATAAAAAATACAAAAAAAACATTAATATTGTGAAATATTATTACAATTTAAAACAGTGGTTTTCTATGTGAATATATAGTGAAGTGTAATTTATTCCTGCGATCAAAGCTGAATTTACAGCATCATTACTCCAGTCTTCAGTGTCACATGATCCTACAGAAATTATTATAATATGAGGCTCAAGAAACATTTATGATTATTATCCATGTTGAAAACAGTTCTTTACATTTTTATTTCAGGATTCTTTGATGAATAGAAAGTTCAAAAGAACAGAATTGATCTGAAATGGAAATTAAGCTTTTGTAACATTAATCACTACCATTCAAAAGTTTGGGGTCAGTAAGAATTTATTTTTTATTTTTGGGGGAAAGAAATTAGAAAATACTTTTATTCATCAAGGATGAGTTAAATTTATCAAAAGTTACAGTAAAGATTATATTTTAAATAAATGCTGTTCTTTTGAACTTTTTATTCATCATAGAATTTTGGGGGGAAAAAATGGTACACGACTGTTTTCAACATTGAAAATAATAATTTATGTTTTTTGAGCATAAAATCAGTATATTAGAATGATTTCTGAAGGATCATGTGACACTGAAAACTGGTGTGTAATCAGCAACAGTAATGATGTGGAAAATTCAGCTTTCAAATTACATTTTAAAATAGAAAACATAGAAAGTCATTTTAAAACAATAGAAAACAATATTTAAAACAATAGAAAGTCATTTTAAATTGTCATAATATTTCACAATATTACTGTTTGGCTTTTTTTTCATCAAATAAAGCAGCCGAAGAGACTTCATTTAAAAACATAAAAAAAATCTTTCTGATCTAAAAGTTTTGACCAGTAGTGTAGGTGTCTTTGTTTTCCACAGTAGTTTCAATTTTGATATTTTTAGGTCAAACCGTTCGTGTCTGTCAGTCATATAATGGAGGTCTATGGTCACCACCTCAAAGAGCATGCACAGAGAAGTCCAGATTAAACTGACTCGTAAATGTAAGTACACATTGATAGCCAATCAGAGGCAGTTCGGCTGGAAGTGGGTTAAAACGCAAGGTGTTGTCACGGGACTCGGGTTGGCAAGTTGAAAGGGAGTTCAGGAGAACGCTGGCATCCGTGAAGGTCGCGTCTCTTTCTGTCCTTCAGCCGTCTGTCGAGCCCTTGTGGGGAAGCTGCAGGATTTACACTCAATTCATTTGCTGATTTAATTTCCTCTACTGAGTTTTGCTCCAGTAACGTGTCCCGCCAATGACAGTCGTGCATGTTTTCGGCGGTGTGTGTAGGACGGCCTAAAGGCAAGCATTTTTACAAGGGCAGCGGTGCAGCGCTAAAACACACACACACACACACACACAGAGTAAAGGCGCAACCTTCCCAACTGCATCAGTAACGCTTACATTTAAATGTACAATTAGAAGCGCCGTTAAAAATAATTTAACGATTAAATCGCTTTAAATTTAAAATGAGAAACATTGCATTAAAATAATTTAACAAATTAATTGCTTAAAATTCCATTTAAAATCACAAACACTATTTGTAGACTTAAAATCAGAAGTATTATAAAATACAAAAATTATAATGCTTAAAATCTTTAACATAAAAATGTTTTATAAAATAATTTAACAATTAAAAAGCTTATAATTACTGTAACACCTGTATCTGGATCAACTGTTTAATAGTGAGAATTGGCTCTTGAAGCTCCGCCCCCTGTGCCGGGAGCAGCGGCTCATTTGCATTTAAAGGGACAGACACGAAAAACGATGTTTTTTACTGACAATTTTAACATGCTATATAAAATATCTGTTGGGTATTTTGGGCTAAAACTTCGCATACACACTCTGGGGACATCAGAAACTTATTTTACATCTTGTGAAAAGGGCACCCCTTTAAACTAAGATCCGATCACAATGTGTCCTCGACTACACTGTAAAAAAATATTGTAGGTTTAACTTAAAAAAGTAAGTAACCTGGTTGCCTTAAAATTTTAAGTTCGTTGAACTGGAAAAGGTGAGTTAATGCAATGAAGGAGATTCATTTAATCATCAGAAACACAAAATAATAAGTTATCTCAACTAAATAAATTATTATAAAGTTGATTTGACAAAAGAGAAAAATGTTGTGATTACTACACTGTAAAAAAATATTGTTGGTTTAACTTAAAAAAGTAAGTAACCTGGGTTGCCTTAAAAATTTTAAGTTGATTGAACTGGAAAAAGTGAGTTAATATAATGAAGGAGATTCATTTAATCACCAGAAACTCAAAATTATATGTTATCTGAACTAAATAAATTATTATAAAGTTGATTTGACAAAAGAAAATATGTTGTGATAACAAATCTTGAAAATATTTTTTACAGTGTACCTTTCAAACCAGGACACATTGATCGAATAACATACCGATCACAAACGCGTTTACACTTGTGTTTTCGATGCGTACTGTATGTGGACAACATCCAGAAAATTCTCAGACTCAGTGAGTAAAGACCTTTACTGCACAAGCAGTTTACGGTATGTGTTAGTTATCATTGGTACTGGACATCTGAATGAGAAAACTTGTTTGTTTGTGTGTGTGTGTGTGTGTGTAGGTGCTGCACTACCTCTCGGTGCAGAAAGCGTCTGATCTGACGAGGCATCTGCTGCCCTGTGTCCTACACGCTGCTCTTCTCAAGATAAAGGAGGAAGGTTTGTGTGAAACCACTACAGCTGCACACAGTTTCGATAGTGTCTCTGATGTCCCTAAACATGAGGTCAATGTTCTTCCAGAGTCGACCGAAGACATCCCGTCCGTGCGTAAGGCGCTCCAGCATCTCACGTCTCACGCCAGTAAACTTCTGCGTCACCCCAGTCCCGACTTCAAGAAACTGGAGGTGAGGGTCATGCCACGCTATCAGACACACTGTGTCCCAAATGACGCACTAAACACTATACTCTTATGCACTATGTACTTGTACACTATGCACTTATACACTATGCACTTATACACTATGCACTTATACACTATGCACTTATACACTATGCACTTGTACACTTATACACTATGCACTTATACACTATGCACTTATGCACTATGCACTTATACACTATGCACTTGTACACTTATACACTATGCACTTATACACTATGCACTTATACACTATGCACTTATGCACTTATACACTATGCACTTGTACACTTATACACTATGCACTTATACACTATGCACTTATACACTATGCACTTGTACACTTATACACTATGCACTTATACACTATGCACTTGTACACTTATACACTATGCACTTATACACTATGCACTTATGCACTATGCACTTATACACTATGCACTTGTACACTTATACACTATGCACTTATACACTATGCACTTATGCACTATTCACTTATACACTATGCACTTGTACACTGACTATGTACTTATACACTATGCACTATGTACTTATGCACTTATACACTATGCACTTGCACACTGACTATGTACTTATACACTATGCACTATGTACTTATACAGTATGTACTTATGCACAAGTGCATAGTGTATAATACACTATGCACTTGTACACTTATACACTATGCACTTGTACACTATGCACTTATACAGTATGTACTTATGCACTTATACACTATGTACTTATACACTTATACACTATGCACTTGTACACTATGCACTTATACACTATGTACTTATACACTTATACACTATGCACTTGTACACTATGCACTTATACAGTATGTACTTATGCACTTATACACTATGTACTTACACTTATACACTATGCACTTATACAGTATGTACTTATGCACTTATACACTATGCACTTGTACACTTATACACTATGCACTATGCACTTACACAGTATGTACTTATGCACTTATACACTTATACACTATGACTATGTACTTATATACTATGCACTTATACAGTATGTACTTATTTACTATGTACTTATACACTTATACAGTATGTACTTATTTACTATGTACTTATACACTATGCACTGACATACTATGCACTTATACAGTATGTACTTATGCACTTATACACTATGCACTTGTACACTTATACACTATGCACTTGTACACTTATACACTATGCACTTGTACACTATGCACTTGTACACTATGCACTTATACACTATGCACTTATGCACTATGCACTTATACACTATGCACTTGTACACTTATACACTATGCACTTGTACACTATGCACTTATACACTATGTACTTATACACTTATACACTATGCACTTGTACACTATGCACTTATACAGTATGTACTTATGCACTTATACACTATGTACTTACACTTATACACTATGCACTTATACAGTATGTACTTATGCACTTATACACTATGCACTTGTACACTTATACACTATGCACTATGCACTTATACAGTATGTACTTATGCACTTATACACTTATACACTATGACTATGTACTTATATACTATGCACTTATACAGTATGTACTTATTTACTATGTACTTATACACTTATACAGTATGTACTTATTTACTATGTACTTATACACTATGCACTGACATACTATGCACTTATACAGTATGTACTTATGCACTTATACACTATGTACCCATACACTATGTACTTATACACTATGCACTTGTACACTATGCACCTATACCCTATGTACTTATGCATAGTGTACTTATGCATACGCTTCTATGCTCGCATTGTAAACGTGTGTGTCCTCTGTGTTGTCAGGAGGTTATTAATCAGATGAGTGCGGTGGAGGCCGTCGTTGCGATCGCACGCTCGCTCAAGGCCAAGTTTGGCATCGCTAAAGGAGAGCGGATGGAAGATGGTGATGAGCTGGAGAGGTAAAGTCTGAACAATGGCTTAAAAATCATTTATCGGCATCCGCCCCATATCTGCCGAAACACACTGATGGAGTAAGAGCACTTTCTAAATTTTGTTCAGAAAAACCTGCCTCTGTTTATGACCTCACCCGCCTGATTGATATAGCTCCGCCCCCTTACTCGACATGACTCCACCCTCCTGGCTGACAGCTCCGCCCCCTTACCTGACATGACTCCACCCTCCTGGTAGATATAGCTCCGCCCCCTTATTCAACATGACTCCACCCTCCTGGCTGACAGCTCCACCCCCTTACATGACACGACTCCACCCTCCTAGTAGATATAGCTCCGCCCCCTTATTCAACATGACTCCACCCTCCTGCAAGCAATTACATTTTTTTAAATGGTTTTAGCTTTAGTTTTAGATAATAACAATAAAACCCTGGTATATACTGTAATATCAGGCTTTAGTTATTATTTTTAACATTGTTCATTAGTTTAAATTTCAGTCTGCTCTTAAATTATTATCGATTTTATTCATATTATTTATAATTCTGCTCTTGATGTCAGCGAAGGTATCAAATGTGGGGGCGGAGTCTTATCATGCAGGAGGGTGGAGTCATATTGAGCAAGTTGGGTGGAGCTGTTTTAAGGGGGCGGAGCTATATCGATCAGGTGGGTGGAGTCTTGTTGAGTAAGACTAGTGGAGCTATATTGAGGTGGGCGGAGCTATATTGAGCACTAGAGTTGAGCAGAAAGTGCAGAGTAGCAGAATCATTTAAAAGGGGGCGGAGTCGTGTTGTGCTGGAGGGGCGGAGCTTGTGCTGTCAGTCTGACGGGTGCATGTCAGCTAGCACTCGTTAGTTCCCAGGGGCCACCCGGGGCCACAGCAGTCGGTCAAGACAGACACACCGGCCTCATTAAGACGAGACCCGGAGCTGCCCGCAGGAACAAAGACAGTTCAGTGCAGGTGTGTGTGTGATTGTGTTGAACAGGCTGAATACACACACACACACAGACAGACACAGGCGTAGCTGTTTTTCTCTGAATTATGGCAGTAGTTCTCAGGCGACTATGAACATGATAAATATTCCTCTTCCTTCCTTCATCTAAACACTCCTCTACCTGTACTGTACAGTCACTGTCTCACATTATGCCGTTATTCCTGTCTGTCTCTCAGGTTTGTGAGCTGTTTGCTGGAGGAGCCTGAGGTGTGTGTGGTCGGTGCAGGTCGAGGTCCTGCTGGAAGCATCATACATAAGCTCTTCGTCAGTTCTCAACGGGTAAACACACACACACACACACACACACGATCAAGGGTTTTATGTTTTATCGTAATCACGGACTGGATTCTCTCTTCTCAGACCAAAATCGACCAAAATGAGTCGGAAAATACTGGATATGAGCTCTAATCTAATATTGCGTGATGTGCATCCATGCTTGCTTTTGATAAAAGCATCTGCCGAATGCTTCAAATGTGAATGTATAATTCTGTTCTTGAGGTTACTAATGTTAGTAACACTTTGTGCCATGCATTAACTAACATTAACGATGAGCAATACTTTTGTTAGTGTTTTGTAATGTTAGTTTATAATTACCAAATCTTACGTCATTAAATAATATAAACAGACTCAACTTGAATGTTGAAATTAACATTAAGATTATATTTATTAGTAGGGCTGTGCAAGGATTAATTGCGATTAATCGCATCCAAAATAAAAGTTTGTGTAACATAATATATGTGTGTGTTGTGTGTATAATTAATTTGTATATACTGTATAAATACACACATGCATGTATATATTTAAGAAAAATGTGTTATTAATATATCAAATATTTATATTTATATATAATATTAATTGTGAATAAATATATATATATATATAAAATATATACATGCACATATTTCTTAAAAATATACATGCATGTGTGGGTATTTATATATACAAATTAATTATACACACCACACACACATATATTATGTAAACACAAACTTTTATTTTGGATGCGATTAATCGCGATTAATCGTTGCCCATCCCTAATTATTTAGTATATATAAATACACACACATGCATGTAGCCTATATATTTAAGAATTATTTGCACATATATACTGTGTGTGTGTGTATATATGTGTGTATATATATATATACATACATTGAAATACATAATCTATATTATATATAAATATTTTATATATGAATAACACATTTTCTTAAAAAAATGCATGTGTGTGTATTTATATATGCAAAATAATTATACACAGCACACACACATATATATTATGTAAACACAAACTTTTATTTTGGATCAATGAATCTTTGCACAGCCCTAATTATTAGTTTGTGTTTATCAATGTAGTTAACAAATGTAAACCCTCTAAAGTGTTACCAAAACGTCGGCTGTCGGTGTAAAATAATTGTGTTAATAATTGTACGAACGCTTTATATCTGCGAGACGGTGCCGGACTCGTTCACATCACAATGTCTCAAAGCGACTTTAACAGCAAGAAGAGCCAAGGCTTTCAAAAATGCATTTAAAAATGCGCTCTAGCTGTTTTTCTGTTTGTCATAATTAGCTAAATTAATGAAATGCAGCAGATGTCTTAGTTTCATTTAGAGATTTAATGTGACACAGAGGTAATTAAACACGCCGGGCGAGTGATTTGTTTAAAATAAGATTATTATGGAGTGTGCCGGTTAAACATCATGTTTGATGAACGACTGTCCTCGCATTAGTCTTGTGTTTATGTTAGTAGTGGTTTAGTTAGTGCCACTAGTATTGACCACTCATTAGTGTGCGAACTGTTAGCTGGTCAATCTCACAAAGAGCTTTATGCCATGAAAGTGGTTGATTTCACGGTAACACTTTACAATAAGGTTAATTAGTTAACATGAACTAAGAATAAACAATACTTCTTCATCTTACATTTACTAATACGTTATTAAAATCTAAGGTTGTATTTGTTAACAATAGTTAATCCACTAACATGAACAAACAATGCACAGCTGTATTTTTATTAACTAACATTAATAAAGACTAATAAGTAACGCATGTATTGCTCATTGTTAGTAAATACATTTATTAAAGGAGTAGCTACTTTTAAAAAAAAAACTTTTGCTGATGGTTTACTCACCCCCATGTCATCCAAGATATCCACGTCTTTCTTTCTTCAGTCGAAAAGAAATTAAGGTTTTTGATGAAAACATTCCAGGATTTTCTCCATATAATGGACTTCAATGGGGTTCAAACGGTTCAAGGTCCAAATGAGAGTTTCAGTGCAAACTGCAAACTGTTCAAATGATTCCAGACGATGAATAAGGGTCTTATCTAGCGAAACGATCGCTCATTTAAAAAATAAATAACAAAGTTTTATAAGCTCAAATGCTCGGCTTGCTCTGTTATGTGATGAGCGTTCGTGACTCTCCTGTTCGAACTCGTTCATCAAAATGAACGAATCTTTTTTCAAGTCATTTGGTTCATTCAATGAACGAATTGACTCGGAAAAAGATTCGTTCATTTTGATGAACGATTTCGAACAGGAGAGTCACACAGAACAGAGCAAGGCGAGCATTTGAGCTTATAAAACTTAAACTTTGTTATTCATTTATTAAATGAGCGATCGTTTCGCTTGATAAGACCCTTATTCATCGTCTGTAATCGTTTAAAGCCCTTTGAAGCTGCACTGAAACTCTCTTTTGGACCATGAACCGTTTGGTCCCCATTGAAGTCCATTATATGGAGAAAAATCCTGGAATGTTTTCATCAAAAACCTTAATTTCTTTTCGACTGAAGAAAGAAAGACATGGACATCTTGGATGACATGGGGGTGAGTAAATTATCAGCAAAAGTTTTTTAAAAGTGAACTGCTCCTTTAATGTTAACTAATGAACCTTACTGTAAAGTGTCGCCGATTTCAGTGTGAAATCTGACCTGTAAATCAATTAATGCATTTTTTAATGCAAAATATAATGCATTAATTTTTCTTTCAATTTTGAGGTGTTTCCATCAGATTCACCTGAAACCTTAATTTCCCCCACTCGTTCTTAATATTAGTCACTTCCATTTGTGTCATCGTCATTCCCAGGATGCACTTGTGCCTAATGGTCCCAGTGTAAATTGTAATTCTCAGCTACTTAAAGTTAAACAGGCCGAAAATGCGATATGAGCGTTGAAATGTCAGCCGTTGTGGTTCTCGAGGTGAGCTCCAGACATCTGCGCTCACAAGTTTTCTTTTAAGTGAGAAATGTTAGAAATTGAGTTTGTTTGCCTGAAACTCTCGCTCAATTAGCCCCCCCTCCTCTGTCTGCAATGTGTGTGTGAGGACTAAATTATAGCCTGTGTGTTGCCAGGCTCTAAATAGAAAGGCAATAATTATCCCAAGCATCCCCATGTAAATCATGTGAAATCAGGGACTCAAATGAGGTGAGATTTCCTGGAAGAGATAGAAATGAGGGAAAGAGAGACGGACCTAGTGTATAAGAGACTTTGTTGCATGTGTTTATGGGTATGTGCATGCACTGATTGATCATGTTTTGGATGCGTCACCAATGAACAGATAATGTGGTGCCGTGACCCGGACTCATCCAAAGCATTACTGCACCAACGACCAATCAGAATCTTTATTAATATTTGATTTCCTTTTATAGGAATAACATTCTGAAGGAACACTATATTGATGTTTATACCCATGTTTAGACCATTTTGTACTCTTTCCTCTTCAGGGATGAAACTTGTCATCGGATTTCAACCCAAAATCAAAAGAAAAGTTCACTTTGAAATTCATGTTTGGTGTGTTTTATCTTACCTCAAGGGCATCCAAGATGTAGGTGTCTTTGTTTCCGCAGTATTTACAATTTTGATATTTTTAGGTCAAACCGTTCACATAATGGAGGTCTATGGTCACCACCTCAAAGAGCATGCACAGAGAAGTGCATATAAATACTGTTCGTTTTCTCACACAAACCGCTCGTTTCGTGTCTTAGGCCATCAATGTGTGCGTACATTTACGAGTCATTAAATCATGTTTAATTTGGACTTCTCTGTGCATGCTCTTTGAGGTGGTGACCATAGACCTCCATTATGTGAACGGTTTGACCTAAAAATATCAAAATTGAAAATACTGTGGAAACCAAGACACCTACATCTTGGATGCCCTTGAGGTAAGATAAAACATACCAAACATGAATTTCAAAGTGAACTATCCCTTTAAAGAAAACCATTTATATTTTGGTAGCATTTATTGTCATGACAACTAACCACATTCCCCACTCTTGCATTATTCTTAATGATGATTCTCATTACTGTAATACAATCATTTGTCAATTAAAGGCAGAACAACAGCAGTCACTGTATAATTTGGACACTTAATTGTGCATAATTGTCATTATAATATTGCTACCAATAATCTTAATGCATTTTTCTTCTTTTGATTTTTTTTGCTTGAAATATGACCTGCACGTGTTGAGTGGTTTGGTGAGATTCAGCGTTGCACGTTACAGCATGGACTGAACTTTTAAAAGTGCTCTTATTTGGCCTTGTATTTTGTGTTGTTCTTTTTCTTCATCTTTTTGTTTGTTTGTTTGTTCTCTCCTAACACCGCTTGTCTGTCACTCTTGTCAAGTTGGCCGACTCCAGTGACGAGGTAAAATCAGCAACATCTGACACTACGATTCCCCATCATTCACTGCAACAAAAAACAACAACAATGTTCTTCCTCAGTATTTCTGTCTTGTTTTCTAGGGCAAACATTCTTAAATCAAGATGATTTACTGAAAAAGCGAAATGAGTTTTTGATGAAAACAAGAAAAAAGAAAAACAAGATTATTTTCTGACTCCATTTGTATTCTTGTTTTAAAGGAGTAGTTCACTTTAAAAAAAAAAACTTTTGCTGATAATTTACTCACCCCCATGTCATCCAAGATGTCCGTGTCTTTCTTTCTCCAGTCGAAAAGAAATTAAGGTTTTTTATGAAAACATTACAGGCTTTTTTTCCATATAATGGACTTCAATGGGGTCCAAACGGTTCAATGTCCAAATGAGAGTTTCAGTGCAGCTTCAAAGGGCTTTAAATATCTTATCTAGCGAAACGATCGCTCATTTAATAAATAAATAACAAAGTTTACGTTTTATAAGCTCAAATGCTCGCCTTGCTCTGTTCTGTGATGAGCGTTTGTGACTCTCCTGTTCGAACTCGTTCGTCAAAATGAACGAATCTTTTCCGAAGTTAACTCGTTCATTTCGTTCATTGAATGAACCAAATGACACGGAAAAATATTCATTCATTTTGATGACAGGAGAGTCACGAACGCGCATCACAGAACAGAGAAAGGCGAGCATTTGAGCTTATAAAACTTAAACTTTGTTATTTATTTATTAAATGAGCGATCGTTTCACTTGATAAGACCCTTATTTATCGTCTGGAATCGTTTAAAGCCCTTTGAACAGTTTGCAGTTTGCACTCAAACTCTCATTTCGACCTTGAACCGTTTGGTCCCCATTGAAGTCCATTATATGGAGAAAAATCCTGGAATGTTTTCATCAAAAATCTTAATTTCTTTTCGACTGAAGAAAGAAAGACATTGACATCTTGGATGACATGGGGGAGAGTAAATTATCAGCAAAAGTTTCTATAAAAGTGAACTACTCCTTTAAGCATAAACACCCCTTATTTGGACAGATCTCAGAAAATAAGAGTCAATATCTTCAGTCAAGTACATGTATGTTGATTTAAGAGTGTTTAGATATTTGTGCTGGAAAACAAGACCGAAATACTAACCAAGAAAAACATTTTATTGCAGTGTTTCAGACAGATGCTGATGTTAATGAGGAACACAATCTGTAGAATCTGAATGTCTGTCTCTAATCGCTGCTTTTTTTTATCCTCACTTTGATTCGTTCACGTTCTGTGCGCATTCAGGGCTTCCTGATGGACATGGAGGTTTGTTTATCGACCCGTAGAGATAGAGAGTGATGTTCTCTGTGTGTAGAGCAGTCATACTTTAGCTAATGCCTCGTTGTGTGATTAAACAAAACACATCCCTGTAATAAATCAAAGTCAAAGTGATTTTATGTGAAGATGGACGTCACATCATAGGTCGATCTAAATCCAGAATGTGCATTTTCTCATCGTTCTTTCTCTGCTAATTTGCAATCAGCTTTGCAATTAGTGAAATGTGTTCCTGTACGAGCGAAAAAAATAGATTGTGTCAATTTGCTTCACTCCTGCAGTTTCAACACTCATTTAAAGGAGTAGTTCACTTTTCAAAAAACTTTTGCTGATAATTTACTCACCCCCATATCATCTTAGTTGTCCATGTCTTTCTTTTTTCAGTCGAAAAGAAATTAAGGTTTTTAGTCAAAACATTCCAGGATTTTCTCCATATAATGGACTCCAATGGGGTCCAAACGGTTCAAGGTCCAAATGAGAGTTTCAGTACAAACCGCAAACTTGTTCAAAGGGCTTTAATCGATTCCAGACGATGAATAAGGGTCTTATCAAGCGAAAACGATCGCTCGTTTTATAAATAAATAACAAAGTTTAAGTTTTATAAGCTCAAGGCGAGCATTTGAGCTTATAAAACTTAAACTTTGTTATTTATTTATAAAATGAGCGTTTCGCTAGATAAGACCCTTATTCATCGTCTGGAATCATTTAAAGCCCTTTGAACAGTTTGCAGTTTGCCCTGAAAGTGTCTTTTGGACCTTGAACCGTTTGGACCCCATTGAAGTCCATTATATGGAGAAAAATCCTGGAATGTTTTCATCAAAAACCTTAATTTCTTTTCGACTGAGGAAAGAAAGACATGGACATCTTGGATGACATGGGGGTGAGTAAATTATCAGCAAAAGTTTTTTCAAAAGTGAACTACTCCTTTAAGTCTCACCGAAAGCATTTGTTGAGAAGCGTCTTTGCTTTGTTGCTCGTTGACTCTCTGTATAGGTTCAAGTAACATTGTCAGCTTAGCCTATTATAAAAGCATGTTACCTTTATGTATATTGCATTAGCAGTTCATTCAGTATAGATTAGCCACGCCCACACTAAAGATTTAGGAGTGACACTGAATTAAAATTTGAGAGTGAATCTCCTTGTTGATTGATCACATCAACCTTCTGGCATCTTGTATGTTTGGTAATATTGGTTGATAATACAGTCATTTGATCTCGCTTTGATTAAACCAGGATTAGGCCTTAGTTAACATTACTACTGTGCATCTTGAGACAAAACCGATGTATTTTAAATGAGTAGTTCACTTTTAAAAAAATCTTTTGCTGATAATTTACTCACCCCCATGTCATCCAAGATGTCCACGTCTTTCTTTCTTCAGTCGAAAAGAAATTAAGGTTTTTGATCAAAACATTCCTGGATTTTTCTCCATATAATGGACTTCAATGGGGACCAAACGGTTCAAGGTCGAAATGAGAGTTTGAGTGCAAACTGCAAACTGTTCAAAGGGCTTTAAACGATTCCAGACGATGAATAAGGGTCTTATCAAGCGAAATGATCGCTCATTTAATAAATAAATAAATAACAAAGTTTAAGTTTTATAAGCTCAAATGCTCACCTTGCTCTGTTCTGTGACGCGCGTTCGTGATCAAAATGAACGAATCTTTTTTCGAGTCATGACTCGAAGGGTCCTAGATAAGACCCTTATTCATGGTCTGGAATCGTTTAAAGCCCTTTGAACAGTTCGCAGTTTGCACTGAAACTCTCATTTGGACCTTGAACCGTTTGGTCCCCATTGAAGTCCATTATATGGAGAAAATCCTGGAATGTTTTCGTCAAAAACCTTAATTTTAATTAAGTTTCACACCTACGAGTTGCGTCCAATAAGCCTGTAGTAGAGTGACAAACAGAAGAGACAAAGTTCAAATATGTTTTTTCTTGCACTTATAACACAAATTCGATTGAGGTCTGTTTTCAGGAAAAACACCTGATGTGTGTTGTGCGCTGATGTGTTCAGGCCGCCCTGTTGGCTCCGATGGAGGACGACACGGGCCGTTCGGGAGGAACGGATGACAGGAAAGCGGTTCCGGATTTTCCGCCCCCTGCTGGACGGGAGATTCTCCTTCGGACCTGCGTTCCTCGACCCGCGCCGTTCTCCAAAGCCCTGCCCCAGCGCCTCTTCTGCGTGCTCACGCGGGACGAGTTCAGGCTCGCCGGGGCCTTTTCATCCGACACCTCGTTCTTCTGAGCGCACCCGGGACGGCTCGGTTAAACGCCGCACGGCTTTAGTGAAATCAGCGAATGGTAATGGTGTCTCCTGCTGTTCTTACAGAGTCATCGGCAGTTTCCGGATCGGCCCTCGAGGCAACTGCTCTTCTGAGGGTCTCGTAACCTTCGCTTGGATGTTGAAATGGTTTTATATCTGGTGGGTTTTCACACATGCTAATAATATCCGTTCCCCTACTGTGTGTTTGATGAGGAAAGCTTTAGATTGACTACTCAATGCTTCGCCTTAGGAAACATCATCAGAACACACACACACACACACAATTTACTCACTGACTAGTAGTAAATAAAAAAGCTGAGCTCATGTAGCATTTAGCATCGGTGTATCGGTCTCGGATCGAGACCTTTATATGTATATCGATTCGCTCTTGTGCTGCTTGTTTTTCCTCCGCCAGTCGCTTTCTGCTAATGACATTAATGTATTAGTCTGTCTGATGATGTATTGTCAGTCTGTGCTAGTATCTGTCTCATGCATTTGACCAGATCTAAATGTCAAACCAATATGATCGTCTGCATTGTGTGATTGTCCTAATTCAGTCGCAGATTTGACTTGATGAAAAATAATAAAATGTCTGAACATAATTGTTATTGTCGTTGTTCTCGATTCATGATCACTGCCTCATTAGCGCTTTGTGCCGCTAATCGCATTAAGGGCTTTAAATGAATGCTGGCGTTAGATCGTTATTTAATACGGGACGTTAGTTTGAGGATCTTGCTCTGGATCAGACGAGTGCGTCGTGATTTTGTGACATCTTTTGACGAATGATAACTATAACAATGTCTAATTGAAGAGAATTGGCACTGGCTGCAGTAACACATCTCTGTCCATGCGGGGGCGCTCGCGGTCGAGTGCAGAATGAATGGGAGTCAATGGGGTTTCACCCCCATAAATCCACTTTTCCCAGGATGTAATTTTTTGTCAAGTAATTTGAAAGTTGCGTTCAAAAGGCAGGGCTAAGAAAATACACTTGCATTTTTAAGTTCACTTATCTGTTCTAAAAATCCGTTCAAAACTGTGATGATGTCACACAATAGCAGAATGCTAGCGTGTTCCGGCTAACAACGGCCTAACCTGGAAAAAATTAAAAGGACATAAGTACTCGTTCATTCGACTTTTGGCCTATAATCTATATTGAACTTGCGGAATCAACAATAAAATCTATGTTGATTTAACGACAAGCAGGTGAAAGAGACACATTTAGCCGTTTAGCCCCATAGACTCCCATTCATTCTGCACTCGCCCGTGATCACCCCCAGTGGAATTCTAATGGAACTGCAACCAGGATGATACACAACGGGGCTAATGGCTCTCCGTTAGACGGGCTCTGTTACAACTATATCAGCGGACGATGACGTTGATTATTTTAAATAATCAGTTTAAACTAGGGTGGATTCTGATTGGCTGTTGGTGTTGTTATCGTTCATCATCTGGGAGTAAAAAAAGTTCTGAAAGTGATTCCAGCGATATGTGGGGAAAAAATATTTTCAATTCACACCAAGGGAGATTACTATAACAATAACCATATCAGCGTATGCTGGATGATATCGTTAGGCCATTTGTTTACCCATTGAATACGTTAGTGAATAATTGTGTCATAGCTTATCTGAACTAAACTGAACTCGCGTAAATGCTGCAAGTCAAAACCAAACTTTAATATAACTCTGATTGTATTTGGCTGAAAGAAGAAAGTCATATAGAGAGCCTAAGTCCCGCCCCTCCGTTTCCGGCTCATGGGACCTTATTTCGGAAAAAATATGAATGGTAGTCAATGGCGAGAGACAACTTATCTTTTTATTCCGTCTGAACTGTGCCCTGAATTACACATATGATGTTTGTCAATTTAAAAGATAATTCTGACAGTCAAAAACGTCGCAGTTTTTCATACAACAGAAGAGTAACATTTAGTTTTATGTGAATATCGCTCTGTGAACTACATCTCCCTGGAAGCGAAACGAGATCCGCTGCTCGTGTGTGTGCAGTCTGGTACAAAACACTCAGGTAGGACGGCGTAACGTTACGATTATAACGTAAGACTGTAGAAACAATGACCTCAGTAAAGTTAGCGTCATTCATTGAGAGAAAATGTGCGCCTTTGGGGTTTGTAGTCTTTGTAATTACGTATTTTCACAGTCTTATACCTCAACGGTTTTACATCAAACTGCGACTTTCTTTACTTTAAAATGTATCTTTTAAATTGACAAACATCATATGTGTAATTCAGGGCACAATTCAAACGAGATCAAAATATTTGTTGTCTCTCGCCATTGACTACCATTCAATATTTTTCCGAAATAAGGTCCCATGGTGGTCGACCGGAAGGGGAGGGACTTAGGCTCTCTATACACCTATGATGGCTTGAGGCCAAGTTGAGGGTGTGTAAATTATGGGATTATTGTATTTTTTTGGGTGAACTATTCCTTTAAGAGTAAAAGTTGTTACTGTTTATCTCATAACAGGTGTTCTGACGATTCATGCTACCCATCGAGATTTGCTACTTACCGGTTATGCGCATGTGCAGACTCAGTTTTTTTTTGTTTTGTTTTGTTTTTTTTTAACAAAAGGTACATTTTCCTGTTATAATGTAATTCCCTTTAAAAAATGCTTACTACCATATGAATATTTGTACGGTCAGCCAGCTGAAAAAGAATAACTGAAAGTTTCAATTACTATGAGGAAAGGTGTACTTTGACAAGTCAAAGATGAGTATTTTATGATAATTTTTACTTTTCACACCGTTTTAAAAATAAAAACAGTAGTCTACAGTATACGGTACTCATAACTTAGAATTGTATTATAATTGTATTTCATACGACTTTAATCGGCATTCTGTTATCAATTCGCGCTACGGTAGCATTTTTCGACAAGGCAGCAAAACACCGCGGTGTAATTTGTTGTATGTTTTATATATTAGCTATTCATTATTCAACTTTGCATTGAAGCTGTCATTTATTTGTCATGTTAACGCACAGTGTTGTAAGTCTCACGCCTTTCTGTTGTGATGTGATCAGCAGGAAAACTTTATCTTGCGCCGATCTCGCTCGGTTTTAGGCTACTATGCGGTTCCGAACGGGAGACAGCTTGAGATCTCGTTGGCTCTGGCACCGTGCGATCGGTGCCGTGGGAGAAGCGCTTCACAGCTTGATGATCGGTGTCTGCTGGCTGGTCCCGTAGCGTTTCCATAAACAGAGTTATGGCTGTGAAACGCTTCAACACCCGGAGCTCCGCTTATCACGGTTCTTGTTGCCATGGCGACGTTCAGCACTTCCAACCGGCTCCCGTCTTTTTCCCCCCGTTTGGTGTTTGGCAACGCACGCGCGTCGAGGAGGAGCGCGTGGGCGTCGGAGCGCACGCACACCCCCGCCGGTCTCTTCGGGACGACGGACAGATTTTCACACACATGTCTGTGTGGAGGATGGAGGCCTTGTTATTTTGAATTCCCTTTTCGAGGGCCAACCAAACCTTGTCCAAAATCAAACGCGCGAAAAACACACAAAAGTTGATGCGGTGCGTAAAATGGAGGCGGCGACAACAACAAAAGGAGGTTCAGAACTTCTGCCTTTGTGCCAGTTTGAAAGCTCTTCTCTCTTCCAAGCCAAACACGGATGAGATGTTACAATAACTTTAGAGCAGAGGAAGAAAAAAAATGTACAAACCCATTTTTCACAAAGTTTTTGCTCTACTTTTAAAGTGTATTTCCTCTCAGTAAACCCCCTCCGAGGCGCTCGGGTTGTTGTCATAAATCACGCTGGCACTTCTCGGTTGGAGGAGACAGATGCGGCCCGGATAACGCGGATTACGAGCTGGATGCGGTCGGTGATTGAGTCTGTTACTCGGGTCTCGGACGGGTTACTACAGTCGAACACACTTCCTTGTACTTAAACACGGTTATAGTTAAATCAAAATTGACTATAGTGTGTATTATCAATAATTTATTGGTGTAGGCTACATCATTTTTACAGCCGATCGACTGTCCTGCAGTTCATCTCCAACAACTTTCATTTTCAAGAGATCCTGAAGGCCAAGTTGTTGTTTTTTCTGGTGTGTTTGATTAGAGTTGGAAAATAACTGTGCAGGAAAGTCGATCGCTGTAAATCGTTATTTTTTATTGCCATGTAATCTTTAATCAAAATAACTGGTACTATCCTGTTATCCGGACCCCATATCATTTCGAAACTAGACTAGTCATCCCTGATTGGTCTTAACCTCAGTGACGGTTAGGTTTAGGGAGGGGTTAGGGGTAGGCCATCGTCCCTGATTGGTCTTAACCCCAGTGACGGTTAGGTTTAGGGCGGGGTTAGAGGTAGGCCATCGTGAGGTCCGGATAACAGGAAAGTACCAAATAACTTTTGCAGCGACTTCTCTTCACTCTAAAAAATGCTGGATTTAAAATGTTTATTTATTTATTTATTTATTTATTTAAAAGGGACAATGCATATTGATAAACATTTCAGTAATGTAAATATGCCAGAATTAGCCCCAGGGCTACTTTCCATCTGCAGTCCCCCGTCAGGTCATCACAAAACAACACATAACAAGACTAACATTCAAGTTTAAATAGAATACTACACGTTTTAAAGAACACCTTAAAAATCAGTTACAATTACAAAAGACACCACTGTTTTCAGACAAATTACACATATACAGTAAAGTGCTATTCATGCCGGAGTTACAATAAATACCAAATCTGGCCCAATATACATACACATGCCCACACGATACCACAGTGTTCCCCATTCACACAAAAAAAAAAAAAAAAAAACAAAGAAAGGAAAACTGTTCAATGGTCACAATTTTGATGCATCTTTAGCCATTGTTTAAGTTGATTCTTAAATCTGGGAAATGTCGGACATTCTCTAATGACAAGTGGTAATTTGTTCCAAATCTCTGACCCCTTAATTGACAGCACATATTGTCCAAATGTAGTACGACATAATGACATTGTAGTAATGACATTGTTTAAATGTCATTAAACAATTTACCATTGATAGTTGAAGTTGGGTTAACAGTCATTTTAAATGATTTTTTTTAATTCAACATTTGGGTTTGTCCTTATTTGACCCAAATTTGGGTTGAAACAACCCAGCATTTTTTTAGAGTGTTCTCTGTTGACGAGGGCGGGGCCTTATCCCCATAGACAAAATCAAGCCCCGCCCTACATTTGTTCTTGTTTGAGAAGCCGTTTCTCTCAGAGATATAGTAGAATTTCTAACTTCGATACGATACCTTGAAAAATATTGATATTCGATACCACAGAGAAAAAAACTGCCACAATATTAAGGGGGATTTTTTTTTTAAGTTTTTTTTTAAGTCTAGAACATGACAATGAGATATATTTTACATGAACAAGAATGTCCTGAGTTCTATTTGTTAATATTTTTTTAATTGGACCAGAGCGTACATGATCCGTTGTATTTTTATTACCTACTGTTATCAAAGATTAAAATATACAGTAACTTAACAGTTACTGCACTTAACAGTATCAAATTGGAGGATAGAGCGCCAGTAATGTATAATAATAAGATTAAACATTCAATTTTCAGTTAAAGGCATTTCATTATTGAATTCAGAAATGCCATTGTCT